TGAAGCTGGATGAGAAAATCAGAAGAGTCGCGAAAAGTGCGAGCTGGCGTGGTATCGTTACACGAAAGGAAACAACAAGCAGAGTTTGAGCCGGCAACCACAGGCCGAGAAAGGCGACAACGGTGACAAATAGGATTTTGCTGACTCGTACATCTTCTACATTTGCACTCTGCCACGAAACATTTGCATTGTGCATCTTGACGGCCCTGTGTATTTTCCAGTAACAGAAAACGATAACAGGAAACGGCAAATACGAGTTAAATACTAAGATCGGTCGTGATATTGGCATTGGAAACCATATCACAGGAACTGCAAAAGCTGGGTGCACATAGGAGGGAAAACCGAATGCAAATATAGAAACAACAGCATTAACAATGACTACGGCCCACACCGCCGAAGCTGATGAAATTATGAACTTCTTTGTAAAAAGAGTTTGGTATTTCGCTGGCTTCACTATCCTGTAATACCTGTTTAAGGCCATCAATGCCATGGTAAACGTCGAGATGTACGTCAGTGATATCATGGAAATTGCTGCAAAACGACTCAGAAAAGTTCCGAAAGGCCATTTTCCAGTGGCCAACAAGACAACTGACAGCGGCATTGTAAACAAAGCTTGCGAAATATCAGTCAAGGCCAAAGATATAATGAAGTAGTTGTTTGGGCGACGAAGTCTTGGCTGTCTTCGTACGGCATAGCAGACCATGAGATTCCCAACTAGAGAAAGAACCATTACCAAAGCAAATATAGCAGTTTCACACACCACAGTCACTGTTTTTCTTTCTTGCAACTCGTGCCAAATCGGCAGTGTTTCTTCTTTACCGAGAGACATTCCTTTTGTTACCAGAGTTATCCCTCGTTAATTTTGTGGCAGAGAACCTAGCAGCCTTTAGCGCGGGACGTAATTCGCTGGAGGGTCTAGTGTACTCAGTCCTAGTTAGCGCAATAAAGAACAAACCTCAGAAATTCACCTTAGACTTCAGAAATAGTAAAAAATTTTGTATGAAGATTAAATGAACGGACCTCAGAATGAAGAAAGCTCATCAGAGTTCATTTCCATCAACCAATCGTATTGTGGCATGACAGTTTAGGAGCTGATTCACTGAAGTCAAAAGCCTAAGGGTAGAATGAATTAATTAAAATAAATTGTATTAGAGTACAGTTTAAATCAACCTGGAATGGAACATGCAAGTCAATAAATGGAGATGTTATTAAGAGAGGATGTCAGCATCCATCGAACAAATTTGAAATATTGTGGCAAGTCGCCCAAAATTCGTTTTCTCTCCTACTTTCATATTTTGTAGCCCAATATGTTCTAATAATTGTGGTGTAGTTTTTTTGCGAAAATATATTTTAGTTTTCGAGAAATGACTTTTTTCGTTCGACCGCTCAAATATGCAAATTTTCACCGTGAATATTACATCAAAACAAAGACAGTTTTAACAATGACCGATATGACACAATCTACTGAGCTTCAAGCTTTTAAAACACCAAAGGATGGTTATAAAGTTACTGTAAAAATTTCCTTGTGTATTTGTTTTGTTCTTTCTTGAGACGAACTCAAAGTCCGGTAAAATTTACTTGATAGCGACTATGAAATGTACATGGTGCGCCTACTTGTCGCCACCGTTAATTGGCATAAGTCATTACAAAAAATAAAAGTAGGAGGGAAAACCAATTTGGGTGACTTGCCGCTGTTTGTTTAATGCATGCTGACATTAGCTCTTAAATATCAATTTTATCTCTAGCTATACCACTGGGTTAATTGATAAAAATCCTTCTCGCTAAGAAATATCTAAAACAGATAGACACGCCTCAACAAAATTCGCCTGGGTTGAATTCTAAGCCATTCAAGGGTTTCTACTGAGCTTCAAGCTTTTAAAAGACCAAAGGTTGGTCATAAAGTTACTGTTAAAATTTCCTTGTGTATTTGTGTTGTTCTTTCTTGAGACGAACTCAAACTCCGGTAAAATTTACTTGATAGCGACTATGAAATGTACATGGTGCGCCTACTTGTCGCCACCGCTAATTGGCATAAGTCATTTCAAAATATAAAAGTAGGAGGGAAAACCAATTTGGGTGACTTATCGCTGTTTTTTTGATGCATGCTGACATTCGCTCTTAAATATCAATTTTATCTCTAGCTATACCACTGGGTTTATTGGTTAAAATCCTTCTCGCTAAGAAATATCTAAAACAGACAGACACGCCTCAACAAAATTCGCCTGGGTTGAATTCTAAGCCATTCAAGGGTTTGCGTTGTAACAGACAATGAGATAACCAAATAGTGAAAGAACCCTTGCCAAGGTAAATATTGTGGTTTCAAGCACCACAGTCACTGTCTCTTCGATGCAGCTGAAGCCAAAACGGAAAGCTTTTGCCTGCATTAAGAAACATTCTACGCTTACTTTCTGAGTTAAAAGAGAACGTTAAATTATCAGTAAGTAATACTATGGTAGAAAACCCACAAGCCTGTCGTAGAGGTCTGACGGTTTGAGGGAGGGCTCCATGAACTCAGGCAAATACAGCATATAGGGATTTAAAGTGCCCAAGAATACTGCCTTCAGCTTAAATAAAGGGAGTTCAGACACGACTTACCCCACCAGAACCAAGTCAGTACCTCATCAGGAATCGATTCCATTGAGCAACTACGTGTTAGAAGTAAATTCTCTAACACTCGTTGTTGGTTTGGTTGACTCTTCTTTAATTTATTTTCTTCTCAAGTTGTTACAACGGTGACTAACTCCAATATGACAGGGAAAACTAGAGTCTCCGCTTATAAAGGTGACACTGCGGATGACATTCCTAAGCCGTCAATCTACTTGTGTCGTCATCGTACCATCTTAACTAGCGAATCACGCTTGACTACGAATTATAGTTCCCACACACTGAGTATGCGCCTTAGGGTTGTTCAAGCAGTTACAAAATAAATTTCTACCTTAATTTTCATATCTTTACGGTTGAGATCGGCCAGAACAGAAACGAGATCGACCATATAAAAATTACAAATAACCTTGGTTCAGAGTATTATTTATACCTGAAAGGGTATCTTGAGAGAAAATCACCTTTAAAGATTGTTACATAACAACATCTTGGTCACAAGAGTTAAAGAAGGAAGGCGCTTACAAGTACCGCCCCCAAATTGCTTCTTGTTGCGAAACATGAGGCGTATCACCTGTTTACCCTTAAATTACCTCTGGGAAGACGAAGGTGTCGAACGCGACCTATTACCAGGGAGATTTACTCTTCCTGGACTAACAAATTAACTTATTTAAGAACATGGCTTATCACGAGTTCCATGTCAACCTCACGATCACAACGAAGAAAACGTGATTAAACTCACTAGGAGAACGTGACCAAACTCACGGGAAGAACGTGATCAAACTCAACCTCTAAGATAAGAACACCAAGAAGGAATACGAAGTAGTCAACCTGCCCTTTTTATAACTTACATTAAATGACTTAAATAATATAATATTTCCATTCCTTTTCTTTCCGACACCAATACAGGAAACCCTTACGATATTGGAGATTAATTGTAATTTTATCATTTAACATACGTTGTAACATTAAAAAATTGAAGATCTAGTTCATTGAATTCAATTCAGTTCATGAACTGAAAAAGGAAGTAAAGTGTAGTTGACACAAAATTTGAACTGAAGTCGGCAGTAATCAATGTCATCATTTTGAGCTGCACCGCTAAGGTTTTAATTAAAAACCCTTCATGAGGAATATTTAAAACATACACACACACACACACACTAAAACAAAATAGACAGGAAATTGAAAACATTCAGGACAAATATACAAACTTAGCAGGTAAGGTTATTCCTTGTTTTTTTGTTCGAAACCATCTTGAGTGCATGGGCCAAAGACAACGTTATCATTTTGAAAAAATAGACAAAGACTGCATGTGGCTTCTGATATAGCACAATTATTATAGCATTGGAAAGAATGACGCTAGAGGGTAGTGCTACAGAATAGTTGTCTCACATGTACAACAGAAAACCTGCCGCATCCCACATATTTATGCGTACCCTGTTCCACAAGAGGAGGTGATTCAATTATAAATCATCTAATTGACATTCACCCACGATGTCTCGGGTAGCTCAGCAAGGTCATAATAAAAGTAAAACATAATTGCCCAGACATCGACGTAATATTTTATTGTCGTACTACTTTCCATCTCAAAGAAATGTACATCGATATTTCCTATCTGTAAGAGGCCACTAGTGACAAGAAGCTGTTTCAGTCGAGGTTGTAAGTGAGAGGGCAAATGTTTACAAAACGACTCTACAAAATAGACAGGAAAGATTCAGTATTGAGACCAGATATAATAAACAAGAGAACATTAAAAAAATTTTGAAAAAAATTCAAAACTACTTTCTTGCTGTCCTTAATGAACTTTCATCTATTGTACAAACTTATTTCATTTCCAAGTTCTATCAATTGAATTCTTATAAAAAACTAAATGCTTCTATCTCTTATTACATGAAACTCTTAAGTAAAAGTCAAGTTCATATTTAGAAAGTAATTCACTATGCATAATATTATAGTTGTACAGTCGAACCTCGATTATCCAGACTCGTTGAGACTAGACGAAAGAGCCCGGATTATCGAGAATATGAATATAAAAGCTAATCAGACCTCATTCGAATGTTCTTCATCAGTTACGACACATGCGAGTGCTGCTTTTGCCTTTTCAAAGCGAAACAAACTCGCCTTTACCTCGCTTTTCAACGCTGTACTTTTAAAAAGACTATGGCGACGGATCTCGATCATGGCTAATAAATATTCATGACAAAATTGGGACCAGAGAAAAAGTCCGGATAATCAAGAAATCCGGATTATTGAGGTCTGGATAATCAAGGTTCGACTGTACTTGTTTTGAGCGGATAACCTATTTGCTCTCTTTTTCAACTTTCTTCTCCCCATACCCCATTTCTTACCCCACCCTCTTCGTCCCCCCCCCCGCCCCCCGAAAACAAGACAGACAAACAAACAAACAACAACTACAACAACACACATACATATACAAAACAAAGCAAAACAGAGAGATAACGGAAATATTAGGCCTATCGTGGGTAAGAAAAAATACGAAAATAACCTTAAAAATAATTCTAACAACTAAAATTTTTTTCAGTGAATATTAATTCATAAAATATTCTCAATAATGTTCATTTTGGATTTAAAGAAGGCAAAAAATGTATCATTAAGTATCCTTAATTCTATGTTAACATCTGCTTTGTTCTTAAACTATGGTTAACATTAAGATACTTCCTGTAGCAGAACTCATTGGAAACGAACGAGCTTAACTATAGGGTCCACAAAATTTTGGTAATGAAACCAGAATATTTTAATGGCAAACAATTCGAATTTTTTTTCTTCATTTGTGAATTTCTTGCCGTGCCTCGCTGTAAAGACTTAAGCTTCCACTAAAGTAATGAACTATCTTTCCTTTTCACAAACACTATTTACCTTTTCAGTTCTTAGGGTGAAATTATAAAAAGAGTTTTTCCTACTTTATTTTTCAAGTAATTTCTTACAACAACTCTCTTGACTATCAATCAAATATAACTTTTCAAATCAAGTTTCTTCTACATCCCTCTTTTGTGGAATCTTAAGGCGTAACATAAATAATTTATAACCGCAGCAAAACGGTTCAAATGAACGACATCAAACATTTGCGAGGAGCGTGATACTAATGTGATTTCTTCTACAACCTGGAAATGCATCCTTCTCCGCTATTAAGTCGACCAAGCCAACGTGTTCACGTAACAAGAATTGCTTCTTAGTCTCATTGGCCCACCTCTCATCCAAGTGAAGACAAGCTGCTGGACGAGGTTACTGTTGTGATCACCTAACATAAACAATAAAAGGACGTCTGATAACTGATTCCAAATTGATCAGCTAAGTGGCGAGCTGATTCCCTCCCTGACTGCCTAGCCAGCTGGCTGGCTTTGCCACCAGCTAGAGGACAGTCTGGCTGACTGGCCCATCATTTGGATAACGGGACTTTGACTTTGACTGACTGACAAGCTGACTGACCGGCTATGTGACTGTCTGGGAGACTGACGGCTTACTGAGTGATTTTCTGCTAGGTTGACTGGTTCATGAACTGGATAATAGGATTTGACCTCGACTGCCTAGAAGGCTGACAGATTTTCTAACTGTCCGAAAAGCTGACTCGCTAACTAACAAGCAGGCTGACAGGCTTGTACGACTGGCTCACTAAATGACCGAGCAGCAGACGAAAAGAAGAAAAACGGCGTTGGAGACCAAACGAATGTTAAAACCACAAATTACGAGAGAATTCAGAACTGTGCAATGCGTTTTAAGTAACTTACAAATATGATTATAATGGACGTTCCCCACTCAGTGTTTCGAGGGCTTCCAATGGAGCGGTCGTACAATCAAAACCAAAAAGAAAATTTCAGAAGGAAAAAATTACGATTCAACTTAAAAATCAAGAAATTTGCCAGCTAACACACCTCATCTCCAATATACTTGGCCAACTGTGTCCTCAGCTGAGCGTACTTTTCTTTCATGTCTTCTTGATACATTCGTTGATCTTCCTTGATCAACTGATCATTTTGTTCCAAAGCTTTTCCACAACAACCGATAAACTCCCTGTAAACTTGCTGAAGCATCTCAATGTGTTTATGAGGATGTGAGGCCAAAACAGACTTGTCAAGAAAGGCATGAGCGTACGCCAGGGGACCTGCATTCACCTGTAAAAAAATAAAATCATTACATTTTCGATAATAAGACCCTTAACGATTTCACCAAAGCACAAGGAAACCTTGCCTAAAGCTTAACTGTCCTGTGCTAACTTAAATGAAGACGTTGTATACTGCGTGATAGTTTCATACCTGAACACTAATACTGCCTTGTAAGACTAGCTGAAGTTTCTTCATGTCCGGAGGATTCTGTGCAATCACGTTATTGAGTTCTTTAACTTTGTTTTGCATCTCATCGAACGCCACCTGACATTTAAGGAATACGGAATATTTGAAAACAAGCTTCACTTAAATCTATGAACTAACAAAAAATAAAAAACAACAACAACAACAAACAAGAGAAAAACAAACAAAAAAACCAAAACAAAAAACGGGAAAACATAGGTCAAGAGCAACCATTATAAATCTACATTCATCCTAAAGATCAGTCTCTAGACGCAGGTTACTTGCAAAACAACGATTAAAGCAGTTTTTTTTGCGATAGAAGACTACCTTACCTCAACTGGAGTCAGTTCATACTGTTCCTCTTGAACAACAAGGATTCGCTTCTTCACATAAGGAAAAGTATTGGACGCTAAAACATAAATAAGTACATTTGAACGAACTCGTTACGTCCACCTTAAAAATCTTTGAAGCGAGGAGCACTTTCAGCAACGTTTAGAACAATGATCTAGGGTAATCCCCTACTTGAAAAATGACGTTAAAGTTCAGTGTTTCTTACGATAAAGAGACAAAAATTTCGTTCCAAACTTACTTGTTAAGATGGTCTTCCTCTTGCACTGCTCTTTAAGGTTTCCGTGAGCTTTACCGCTGACCGTAAACGGCGTCTCGTATATAAACCGTCTGATGTTATTGTTTCGTTCAAATATGGTCGGCCTTAGTTCAAGTTCTTCGTCATCAAAATAGGGCTGCACATAGGTAATCTGCAGGGAATGGTTTCAAGGACCACACAAAAAATATTGATAAACCTTGAAGAAATTTCTTTAGATAACTTCAAGAAAGATCATCTCTTGATGCATTTTCAACCTCATTTCCACTGCGAAGCGGCTTTCGAAAGTCAAAACTTCCAAAAACATTTTTTTAATGCAAGCGGGCTGGGATAAAGCCATTAGCATATTAAAAATATATTTATAGCAGTGAATACATCATTAACACCGGTAAAATGTTTTTAACGAAACGAAACGAAATCTCAGGATCTCGACTAGGAATCGAGCTGAAATCAATTTCAACTAAGAAGATTTCCATGCAACTTTAGGCCTGAAATTGAAAAAGACAAAAAAAAAAAAAAAACAAAAAAAAAAAACAACAACAACAACAACAACAAGAAAAACATAGATTCCTCTAAACTTTGCTATCTCTAAAAGACAAACATTTGGTTTGATGGACTGCCAAGGAGCAGTGCAGCCTGGTAAGAAATTATCAATTTAATGTGAAAATCGCCTTTGGTGATTTGTTACAATAAGTATCAAGAGTACCGCTTAAGCGTATCGCGAACTCACATTCTAGAGACCTGAGACTTGTAAGACCATGTGGCGATAAGAGAAATAAATGCTCAAAGTCTTGTTACGGTTTTTGCGTATGAAAAGTGGTATAAATCAACGGTTCTAACGCTTGAGAATACAGCCTATCTTTTCCAAAACACTCTCTTTTACACAAAAATAATACCTGAATGTGGCCCAGTTTTGAATCTAACGTTTCACGATGAACCTAGGAGGTAAAATCACTGGTTAATTTTTGATATTGACTGAAAAACTGAGACAGTTCTGGAGAAAAACGTAGAAATAGCGTTGACAATGGCAAAAGCAACTACAAAAGCAAGGATTGCAGTCTGATGAAATTAATATCACGGCCAACAGAATGTGAGGGAAATTGAAGAAGTGGCACAGCCGGGCTTGGTGCGAGCAACCACCCACGAATAAATATTGTTCAATAATTCAATAATAATCATTTGCATCAGTTACCTTTGCAGACTCCATGATGAGTTTAACACTGTCTCTGCCGTGTTTTCTAGAGTACATGGCTTCCAATCGTTGAGAAATCTCCGCTAACCCTGTGATTTTAGGTTCTTTATAAATGAATTCCTTGCCATCGTCGTCACCGAACATCTGAAAAACAAAGGGAAAGACGTTTAGTTAGTCTTGACTTTGTCGGTTTCCAGCGCTCTTAATTTCTCAACGAGCGTTGTAATGACCTCAGTTCTGTGTCCTCTAATATTGAAGCATAATGTGCGAGTGGAAAGCGTAGAGCGAATGGCTTAGAGCCGACAGCTCACCGTATTGAGCGCACATTTCACTTTCGGCAAGCATCACGTCTAGAAAAGCTACTAGTTACCAGAACTTTATGTGCTGCAATAACCTATTTTTCTCCATACAAATTACGAGATCTATTTAAATAAGCTGAAAATTGCACCATTTACCTGTCCGAAGAAAGCAACTCTGAAGTATTTTCCAAGAAGCCTTCGGCCGGATTTCATTACTTCCACTACCTTCTTGTACGCTTTGGCTAAGCTGTCGTAAGCATTGGAAAGCCTCTGAGGTTTGGGAGAAAAAAAAAATGAATAATTAGAGTTCTTCGTAGTTTGGTATGAGCAGTTTTCAATCGCCTCGTTCAGATGCATGCTTGTGATTTAGATCATCCTGGTACTAAGATAAGGCGGTCAGTTATTCCTCTTTTCAGTTTTTGTGGACGTTTTTGCTTAAAAAGAAGCAGTCAAAGGCCCCCCTTAAGTCACTCACCAGGAAGTCTCTCTCCTGCTCGTATATTGGTATTGCCAATTTGAACACCTCGCCCATGACTTCATATCTTTCTGCGCGTTCAAGAAATTTCGCACATTGCTCCAACAAATCCACCAAGTGCCGCTAATGAAAGAACATCAGTTAGAGTGAACTCCTCAAAACCACTTCACATTACAAACACAATTAGAAGAAGAAGTTAAATATGGATGGCTGTAAATAAGGAAAATTTGATCCTGCCAGCTCCATTTAAGTGAGAACATTGTGAACAGCGAGAAAGTCACAGCTACAGCGGTGGGAACAGTTTATTCGCTCTAGTGAGGTTTCAGGATCATTACATTAATCTGTACAGAGCTCTCACCCCATATCACTAGAAAAAACTAGACCGCAAACCATCCACTTTAGAAGAAATAAAATCTTAAAATTCGTGGGTCAATATTCTTGAGGAGCATGAAGCCTGATTTTAGATTACAGTGTATCTAGCTTTCAACAGACTATAGCTTATCTCGATTTCTAAATAGTTTCCAAGTGATTTTTAGTAGTTAACGACCGACAGGAAAATCCACCAGAAACAGCTTTTTGTTTATCACTTGGTCACTTCAATAATTGATGAGTCGGGAGGTTCAAGAGTGGCCCACTCATACGAAGAGGAATATTCATTCACCTAGGTCAGTAACATCATTTGACCTGAGCAAAGAAATATCTCAAATTTACTAAGATATCGATGACAAAAAAGCCTACCTTTGTGTACTTCTGCTCCTTAGTCATCCCTTCGTCAGTTTTCATTACACTTTCGTCCGCTACCACATTGGGTGACACGTTGGAAAACGCCGCGCAACCTTCGCGATAAACACCTGAGATAAACGCGAAGAGAGAAGGAGATATGAAAATCAGTAAAGATATTACGTCTGTAAAATTTCCCACTTTGTATTCGAATTATGTCGCAGCTTGCCATTTCCACCGTCATAAATTCCTTTTTTTGCGACAACTGTTCACAACCATATACACTTTGACTCTCTCCACGGAAAGAAAGAAAAACTGAAAAAGCCAAATGATAAATGGATGTCATTAAGTGTCTGCCTTGGTCTGGGAGACGTTTGAAACCATATCTGAATCTCATTACGTTCCATTGTGATTTAATAGAGAATCTTTATTCAAAAGCCGCCAGCCGAGAAGCATCGAAAAGCCACACCATTTTTACGATTAATCGATTGTTTATGTTTAAATCACGGCCTTACAGCTCACCTTGTCGTTTTAAATATTCAGCGACCAGCGCTGCTGCGTGAATGTAACAGTGGGCAGTCTAAAAAAAAAATCATATCATGGCATTGTTACACTCTACTGCCTTCATAAAGAACTAAATACAACGCAATCTAAATCGATCACGGCTCGTTGTGTTTGAATTTTCAGGTTAAAAAAGACTCGTTTTTCAACAGGTGAGCCGATTGAAAACAGGGCGTTTCAAGCCTCTGGGCTAAGAAGTCTTCAAAGGAGCCGTTGATGACTAGATAAACATCCCCTTCTACTCAGTTTCCTACTTTATTTACGAAAATTTCAAGCACACTCACGCATTATCACTCGTCTGATAATCCATCAGATCACGCAAAACGTGGGCATATTTCACGTTACGTCACGCACGCAAAACAAACCTCTGAGTAATTTTCATGACTCTCATGCACGCCTGCCATGTGCTCTAACCAGGTCTCTCTCAGTTCTGGCGTGCTGGAGTAAGACTTGGCCAAACTGTATTGAAGGTCAACAAGGACTTCTGGGATGTCATCGTGTTCCTACAAAACGAAGTGAAATTATAATCAATTACGTGCGAAATATGGCAAAGATCTACAACGACGATCTACAGGAAGCCACCAGTAAGGCTGTTCAAACCAACTCTATTTCCCTCAGAAAAAAAGTTACTAATGTTGTACAGACAGGAAATCACACAAATATCATCAACAAGGTGTGCTATTGCTCCAGGCGGGCGATATGCTGACATGCAAGCGCCGACAATATTTGGGAAATAAAAGCACTCAAACTCTAGAGAATGTCGAGCTGTTTTCAATTCTGTAGTTCTTTCCCCTTCAATTTAAACTTGTTCAGAGGAGGTTAAACAAAATTGATCTAAAATGTAAATATAGAAAAATTATATCCACTGAAACGACACTACAAAGAAAACAAAATGTACCAAAAAGAATTTTCGGTTAATCGTCGCCGCGCTCAGAGGTGTGGGAGAACTCAAAATAGGGAGGAAAACCAACTGCTGTGCGGCGAACTCCTCAATGGCATGCAAACTTTCTTTTTTCTTCACGCACAACTTTCTATTTTTCAAATATGGCTCGTGTTTTACTTCCTCGTCGGAGAATACTCGCAAAGCCATCTATTTTTCTCACAGTGGCGCTTCGAACCGTTACAGAAGGCGGTTAGGATTTGAAAAAATTTCCAAAAGAATCACGATTATAGTTCTGTATGGCACGTCTTAAAGCAAAACTGTCAGTAAAGTTGGCGATGGCGAAAACATGGTCTTCGCAAATACTAAACGCCCTTCGTCAAGGATATTTTATCGATGAAACGAATTTCCTGTCTTTGTAAACATAGTTCTATCACGTGCAAAGGTCAAGTGTATCCAACAAATCGAAAGCGATCTTTAATTTCCTGATGTGCTGTGTCGCCAACTGATTTATCCATATAAATCAGGGCCACTGCTCGCGATCGTCTGACTCAGTGATAAACACTATAGTTCGTTTAATAGTACAGTGCATTCGCTGGAACTTGCTAATGGTCTGAATAACTGATCAGACACGCAACAAAAAAATAATAGTGCGTGCTAAAATTATACAAGATCAAAACTATTTTGGCTGGTTAAAATAAACGGTTAGGAGCGTCACTAACTTACTTTCTCGCCCATGGCTTTCGGTCTCTAAGAACCGAATGAAATTAAGTGATTTGATTTCTTGCTTATTCAACCCAAATGGAATAATGTCTAATTCTATTACACGTTCCAAAAGGCGAGAGACAACAAATTTAACCTGAACTACTACACTGTCGCTCAAAACGTATTACAGGCATTTAGTACGTTTTGTTTCTCCATAATGAAGCTCCTTCGTGAAAAAAATGAAACGTGACAGCACTTAAAATGATCAGAGTGGCGTGCTCATTGGAAAAAAAGTGATAACCCCCGAGGGCTACGATAAATCAACGAAAGGTTCGCCTTTGCAAATCAAAATACATATTACAAACGTTCTGCCAGTCAAGAATTAAATCAGATGCAAATAGCATCAAGTTCGCTCTTGATAACACCTGACATTCTTTCACGACAATTCCGTCTGGAAAGAAAGACACGAACGACTAAAACCTCAGTGCCTCACGACTGAGAAAGTGGCGCAAGTTTTCTGGAACCGTAACAGTGAAAATAAAACAAAACCACTGCAATCCCGGGTAGTTCCGCAACTTGAACTAAACTGAAATTGTTCTCAAGGGCAATTCTTTTTAACCGTAGTTACAATAGTAAACAAATCGTCTACACTTTGGGTATATTTACTATCCTTCTTCGGCATCAAAATGTTTGTGAGAAATATAATGACCCAACTCTCTTCATGGAAAGTCAACCCCATCGGCCAAATCTCACTAGATTCCTATTAAAAGGCGCGAGCGTTGTCCTTACAGATTAACGGTCAGAACACCCTAAAAAAATGTAACAAAAAAGGCTTACCTTGTGCCTAGACCTTTAGGAGACTAGGTAAACAAAACCAAACCTACATGCTGAGCAACTATAATTTAAGCACGCATACCTTCATTTGTGCAGTCGCCTGCAAAACGGTGTGAATCTTCTTCGTTAGATCTTTCACCTCAGCGGGAAAAGCCGTATGCTTTTAAAGGAATGGCAAGCAAATAGAAAAAATGACACAATTTCGACAAAACAGTACAAAGTGTTATCCATCAAGACTCAGGGTGTGAGAACAGGTAGATTAACTAACAACCGCGGCCGATCACCAAATTTACCGTAATAAAACTTGCGAAAAGACTGATCAAACTCGATAAAAGCATTTGTACTCAGTACATGTTCCCTCACATCTGAGTTGGCAACCACTTCAACCAATTCCTCTATAAAAAGAGACTGCGTTTGCCGAACAAAACAAGGGCCCAGTTGCTCGAAGGTCAATAACCCAGGATTACATTTTTTTCAGCCAGGTTTCTTTATTCCTTTTCTTTTCGATAGCCTTTTTTAGATAATTTTCTCTATTCTTTTTAAAAAAGCCAATCCTCAAATTGTAGAAAAAAAAGAACTATACTGAATTTCTTTTAAAGCTTTCAGATCTGATTTCAGATTTCACACTAACCCTGAGTTATGTTAACCCAGCTCTGAACAGCCTGCACAATTGGATAATCGACCCTCTACCGCGGACTTTCAGACCGAAACGATTTCGAGGTCTATTAAAAAAATAACAAAAGAAAAAAAAACAAGGGCAAAAACGAACCAAAGAAAACGAGCCAAGTGCAGTATTTCGTCGTCTCAACTGTGTAAGATAAGTCCATGAAAGACTTTCTGCTTGGCTGGAAGCCGGACTGACGCAATTTCATTGACTGATTAGATGATTGATTCAGTTATTTACGTTTACAGCCCTACAAGACCCAAGTTAAAAAAAAACAAAAAAACAAGAAAAAGTCACCTTCATTCCTTTGTCTTCTACAGCATAATTCTTTAGCGCCAGAAGGGAGTTGTTTACAGCTGAACGGTTTAACCCGATCGCCATCAACTTGGAGACCGCTACGATTACCTAGCGAAAAACGAAAAGATGAAAAACAACTTTAATTATTTAAATAACTCATTGGTACACTACAATCGGAAAAGTAAATGTAGCCTTGGTCGATGTAAAAAAACTGCGAAAAAACATTGTCCAGCTGATATTAAATGATCGTGAAATATTTGATCTTAGCTTGGTGTCGTCCATGTTCGACAAGACCGCGACTTATGATTCTCAACGATAGATTGATTGTACCTTAGTGCATGCAAATGGAGAATCATAAAACCAATTTTCATTGCGTCTGTAGGCATGTTTTGTCTACGATTCGATGATTATTCCACAAAATATAGGAAATGCAGCCACTCTAAGATTCAGGTTCGGAAAAATTTTTATGGGAGTGTTTAAAGACTGAGCGAATAATAGTAACAACAAAGACGAAACACGCCAAGATATAGGAAAATTTTCGGCGAAAAATGTTAACTCTAAATGCGACTGATATTTTCTTTACGACATCTAGCGCTAATGCGTTCCTGTCTATTTCAGTCTAGGGTTAATTCAACTGGGTGTTACACCCCAACACAACCAGAACTGCTCTGGAGAAAAATAACCATTCATGTTGTGTTAGCGAAATGAACGCTCATACGAATGAGAACCAACACACGGATGGATGAGCAAGATACTTAAACGCATCGCTTAACTAGCAACTCATTTTACCGACTTCTGGAGGATATGCCATCCGTTCTATTCAAAAAGAGATTGAGCCATGAAGCGACCAAAGATGATAATCACACACGTACCTTTTTTTCGAAAGGAGTTTTAGTTTGCAAATTATCGTTGTCTAGGCATTTGTGTTGGTTCTGATTACCTAATTTCGACACTTTCGGCTTCAAACTACCTTGCTCTGTTAATCCACAGTACAAATATATTTTAGAACCGTAGACTGCATATAAAACAATTTTTTTTATTTAAAAACTGTCATTTATGTGATTTGAAACTGAGCGACTTTGAGGATGAAGTATTGGTAATTAGAAATTGGTTGCGCTAAAATTCATTGAACGAAATTACCAGGAAAAGCTACTAATATAAAGGAAGGGATTTGGACCCCTATTCAAAATATATCCTTGTACAAGATCACATACGCGTAAGGATTAAAATATGAAAAACAAATTTTAATCCCTTGAACAAGGCAATTGTGAAAGTATGACAGCAAAAAATTACCATTTGGTTATCACCTGTGTTGGCGATAAGGAGAAATGTTAATTCTCAACTAAATTATAACCGCAAGTGGCCTGCGATATGAATAATTTCTGATATATGAAAAACTGGTTCTAACGAAAGGTACAAAAAAATTTTGGTATCCACAAGATATTTAAGGCAGAGTTAAGCGAAATACAAGCCAAACTTGAGGGACAAGCAAGGCGAGAGGAACTTCATTTACACATGAAGTACAACATTTCATTTTCAAGGCAGGTTTTTCATTAAGTGCTCAATTCATTTATTTGTATTTTTCATTTTTCCAAGGCATAAAAGGATGGTTAGTTGAAATTTCAAATTAAAATAATTCATTGACATTTGGGAATATTTTCTTTTTTTTTGATAAATTGATCAGACGAGCTTTACAGTGAAAAGGGGTCATAACAAATTCAAAACTATAAAATAGAACTTTACAATTATATTCCTTATATGAGGGTGCATTACGTTTTCGCGTAATGAAAACTTTAAGTAAGTTTAACAGTTCCGCCACCAATGGTGCAGGGAATAGCACAAATACTAGATTAGCGCCTTGAAAAAATTTTCTTGGATTGTCAAATACGGGCGGATTCTGATTTAAAAACCAAGCATAATGAAGAGACAGCAGCGTTTTTTTTTCCACATTCATGTCGACTACAAGGAGCCTTTCGACACTTCATAGGTTAATTCACGGGAAATTGCGCCGAAAAGACGTGATTTTTCTGACTTTAAAGAGAATAAAATTTCACATAAAAAACGGATGTAATCTGCCACCACAGGCCAAAATAGTAATCGTGCGAGTCCACAGAGAGATAAAAACCACTTTTAGTGAAAACAGGAGCAGCGAATTTCACGTAGATCCTTAAAAAGATCCAATTCAATAGAAGAAAACAAAATTATCAATTCACAACGGATATAAATGTTAACGCCTTAGTGCACAAAAGGTTGAGATGAAGACAGGGAAACTTAAGTCCATTTTTATTATTCGCCGTTCGCATAATGTTGGTTGTAAAAAATCTCTACTATTTCTCTAATCATGTGATTATACCTGCCAGTGGACTCGATCACAACCTTGTCCTCCACTGAATTCAAAATTACTTCGCATCAACAGGTAGAGAAACGAACAGGCCTGCAAATAGAAAACACATTCCTCTTAGTAAGACATCAAGAATGAGCCATCAAAACAAAAACTACAAAAATATTATAAAATCATTTCTTGCATGCAAAACAGGAGTGGAAATAATCTGGGGATCTGTTTTCTAGCAATGGAACTACAATTTCGAATGAACATTGTATAACTAAAGAGATTAGCAATTGCTATCAGGCAGCTGACTAATCATAATTCTATCTATGGGTGATGGAAAATGGCCCGTGTAGGTCACCGTTTTCTTTTTCCTTCAGATAAAAAGTTGCCGTTAAACAATTGCAAATTAACAATCTTCTCCCGAAAAAAACCACGAACAGAATTCTCTCGTGCAAAACACATACAGTTGCAAATGGTAATATTGTCGATAGAAAGACGGCGACATGTCGTTGTAGAAACACACCACTCATGTCATGGCGCGATAATGACACCGTTTCTTACACTGTAGTCACTTCCACGATATCCGAACCAAGGTTTTTTCGTAACCAGTGATTGTCAACCAGTGTTAAAAGTCATGGTAAAAGGCAACAAACGCATCTTTCTCACAGGTCACATGCTTATTTCGTTCCGTTTATCGAAGAAGCAATTTATCCTTCTCCCGGCGTTTGATCAATAAATTGAGCAAGATACAACCGAGAGAAATCTTTTCAAAGAAGGGGATCGATAAGTGAACCTATATCTTCCTGTCGACGGGAAATAATCGTCGAGGAGTTAGGCGACAACTGATTTAGGTTTGGTCTGAGTTTGAATATTTGACAACAAATTTTATTGCACGACAATACATCAATTATATCCCTGCTATATAGAGATTTCCAAAGGTCGTTTTAGCTCGGTTTTGACTGACAGGTGACAAGACGTTATTAAGTAATCCACGCACCTGGTTTCGAAGACTTTCCATTTTTGAGTTACAACAGCTTAAAATCTAGCCAAGGAAGATAAAGATAGATACACCACTGACATAAATAACATAGAGACAATTTACACGGCAAATGAAAATATAGAAAACAAAGATGACCGTGGAAAGCAAGCTACAAGAACTGCAAAAATTTTTCATTGAACGGAAAATGATCCGTATAAACTCAAATATTTACCTCACGACAAAGATCGCCACAATAGCTAGCGCTTCCCTTGTACAAAGCAGCTGGAAACTGAAGTAAAACAAGAAAACATTGAAGAACGTTTTACAAATCGGTAGCATAAGATAGAGAGGTGCCCACTCCACTGTTGAGATTTGCCATACTATGTCACGAATACTAGAGCATGAAGTGCAAGGTGATTTGGGAGTAAAAGAAAACAGAGCGGGGGAGGGAAGGGAGAGAAAAGAGAGAAGGGAGGGGAGGAATGGGGAGGGAGATTAACCGATCACAGAATGTTCAACCTCGTGCGAAATCTTGAATAGTGCTCAACCGAGAAGACCAGAGGGAACTAGTGGTTCCTGACCTTTCATCTAACAACGTTTAAGTGATGCTGGATTGAAATTCTGGAACCGTTTCATCAGGACTAAATATCTTAAAAGACTAAGTAGCAACGTAATAGCATACTATGTTCACTGTCAATCAGAGGCGAAATTAATCACACAAAAATACACTAACACGAAAGTGTTTCCCATCATATCTTTGCGAATATATTGTTTTAAAACAGTTACAAAATGGAAAGGAATAGTAAAGTGCTCAAATGATCAGTCGATTTGTTACCTTGTTGATGTACGATCTAAGACTTGCAAACACGTGTTTCATCATGAACTCAGACTGAGGAATCTGTAAAAAGCTTAGCAGCACGTTAAACACCTGTTGGAATAAGCATACAAAGTGGAAATCTGTTACCTGTCTGTTACAGTAACAACTAACAGCCACATGGCTTTGACAATTAGAGTGAAGAATAACCAAAAGGAAATTTTACCACGCACTGCGTTGCCTTTAGGTATTCAAAGATATTCCACTAGCTCTCTATATGTTTCATATCTTAGTTCTATATTAAACTAATGCAGTGATGAAGTAAAGAACCGAAAACAGCTGTAAACATCGAATTTTTGCCATTTTTTGTAGAAGACAAATGAGAACTCTATTATTCATTACAATAAGCAGTCTTTCTCTTCCTTCGAACGGCAGAGACGGGTACATAATGTAATTTTAAATACAATTAACGTATAAGAGAGGGGGAGGAGGGAACTAACTAGGAATAAAGTTTAAGGAAAGTTTCGAGGACGCAAAATTTTCATGACGTTCCCCAGTTTACATTTAACCGAAAAAGTGTTTCCAAGATAAAGTTTTCCTCCTCTAAGGTGCTAAAGCAAGGACAACAGAAATAAAATAACAACAAAATGAAAATTATTACAAGTTATTGGCCTGGAAGAATTTTCCCAATGTCACGTACCTTCTTCATCAGTAAATTATCTCCATCATCCTGCTCCAAGTGATACTAAAGAATTAAAAAAATAAACAGTGACAAAATAAATCACAATAAAATTTAATTGTAAAAACAGATCAATCATTTTCATCATAAAAATACTCAAAGTGTATTTGTAAAAAGTCCGGAATTGTTTTGGTAAGAAGAAATATGACAGCTTTAGATAACAGTTACATAAGTGGTTAATAAAATAACACGCGACAATAACTTAGAAGTGCAAGGTGTAAATATGTAAAATATGTAAGGTGTAAATATGTAAAATTCTTCGGCTGTAAATAAGAACGGTTTTCATTTCAATTTCAAAAAACACAGTTATCACCACAGCCAATCGGAGCGAAAATTGACATCATCATGAGCCAATTAAAACTCTAATCAAAAACAGCAGAACTGCATGAAGCGCGGGAAAACGTGTCCCCAGATCGAGGTTGCTTGGAGTTTTAAATCTGATGGTTGAGAAGGTGGCGCAGGTTTTTTTTTTTTTGACCAATCACAAAGCGATGTTTGGCAAAACCAAAGCAATAATCGATTACTTTCAACACTCAATTGAAAACGCCTTTCAGTGAGACCTGATTGTCCATGACATCCCTAAAGATATCACTTGTATTTTCAGAAATTAATCATTCATGAAATGGGCACTGAGATGAGCATAGAGTTACTCGTTACTAGAGACAGTGTCCAGTGTCACTTACCTTAAAATGACCACAAAACAGTTCAATAGTGTCCAACACAATAAGACCAACTTCATTGGCAAGATTTCCTTCCATGAGCACACGAGTATCGAGAGTTAACCCTTTGAAAGTACAGTTGCAGAGAAAAAAAAACATTGCTAGTCAGGCCAAAATCACGGGAAATAGTTATTTCAAAATCTGAAACCAATCGAATCGTTTCCCGAGAAAGAGTTTGCACTTAGAAAGGATTGAAACGTGGTTTATCCAGGGCTTTACCTAGAGGGCATGCACAGAGCAATCGTATTGCCTGGGACGAAAAATTGATTTGAATCAATCGATTCAATTTATTTAGTATTCCTTGAAACTGAAATTTAATTTAGCTTACAACCTATTTCTTGGCAGACAAGTGACAAATCCAGAGGAATTTTATAAATCCTTACCTCCGCTGCTCGCTGCTCGAGAGTGTCGTGTCTTCCCATGGTTAGAGACTCCACCACCCTGGTACTTATGCTCAAGGAACTGTTTGGTGCTTTCACTCGGCGCGCTAAAGCGGTCGAAATAACAATGTAATTATTGAAAGAAGGCGTAGGATTAATGGCACGATGATTATTGGACCTGTACATGTCACGGAAAACGGGGGGGTCCACAGAGGCTAAGACGCGCTTGTTTTAAGATGAAGATGAAGAGCCGAGAAACAAAGACAGACCGACGGAAAGACAGAGGAATAAGTAAAAAAAAAAACAAACAAACAAACACAAACAAGAATAAACTAAGCTACAATCTATAAAACGTATCAGGAACAAGAACAACGCAACCACTTCCATCAACTACTACATCAATAAAGAATTATGCCAATTGAAGTAAGCGAATTACGAAACGCAAAAAGAGACAAGTGTAGGATTTTAATACCCCTTGTTAATGAATATTTTTAACAAGATTACATGATGAAGAGTTAATGTGAAATTGCAGGATCAAAAGTTAAGAGAAATATTTTTTACGTACACAGTAGTTAGCAGAACAAATTCCGTCGTTCTCGCCACATTCTCAAGATTATTCCATGCGATCAGTACACAAAAAGTAGAAGCCTGAATATTTAGTTCAAGTTACTGCTGTTATATTGCAAATAACAGCCGAACAGAAGAACTGTTAAGGTAACTGCCTTGTTTAAGGGTCATATTTACGTTAAACATTAACAATGTTCTTTATAAATTATTTGTTATAATAAGTGAATACGCTGTTACGTTCGTACTTTTGGTTGCTCAATGGAGGCCATATCGCTCTAAGATATTCAAAATCCCTGTTTAAAGCATAAAATTAACCAGGTTAATATTGCATATCTTTTAACATTTAGTCAAGAAGGGGAACTATCACCATTAAAGAGTGGCTTAAAGGGAGCGACAAGCACAGATAATGGCAAAAAATTAGAACGTTAACTTTTTTGAAATCGTGTTGTCTACAATTTACCTTATTTTAGACATAAATTAGAATTCTGTATTTAGGATTGTTAGTTCAAGTTACGCAGGTACCAAAACTATCGACCTCTTCCAAAATGGATGGAACCGAGATCATCTCCCTTCCGCTTGATCTATGCCTTCCTCAGTAGCCTTGTCAAGCTGCGTTACTTCTTTGCATGCGTAAAAAAGAATTCATATGCCAAGCACTCATGAAAGAGGTTTATGAAACTTCACGGTTCTCACAGAAAACTCATGTACGGTCAATAATTTTCAAGCTGTATTTAAAGAATAGTTCAAATTTAAACTTCCTAACCATAAAGAAACAGATTAAAACTCAACTCGTCGACAGTGCTCTTGTAACCTTGAGCATTCGTAGTAAAAGGAGGGTTTCCTTTCAATGTAGTAAAGCCCTTACAAAGAGAGTCTTTGCACGGACAAGTGTTTATAGTTAGGAATTTAGCAAGTTAAAAGGCGTAAATCCGTACGTATGTGAAAGTTACGTACGTATATGAAAGTTACGTACATTTATGACTCTACCACAACGCACTGAATGGGAAGACTGTTAAATATTAAGTCAGTCAGTCATTCGGTCAGTCAAAATGTCTGTCAATCAATCAGCCAATTCGACATCACGCCAGTCCGTCAGTAAGTCCGTCAATTAGCCAGTCAGTCTGTCAATCAGTTAGCATGTCAGTCAGATATCCAGCTTCTCCTCGATTCTAACCATAAAACCTAAATCCCTTTACCTGTAAGAAATTATTTTATCCTCTCCAACGTACTGAAAGTGCTTTAAAGCAAGTCTGCAAATATACATCAAGATGAAGCGCAGTTAACTGACGTTTATAACCTCTTGCAAATAATAATAATAATAATAATAATAATAATAACAACAACAATACTACTAATAACAGAAAATCAAGGAACAAAAACACTTTTGCGACAACTTACTCAAGCAAATCAAACACATCGATAATGGCGGCGAATTTGCAGTAGTTCTTGTCCTGCTGCCCCAAATACAGAACTGTAGGATGCCACTGAGGACGTTTGACGGTAGATGACGAGATCTGGCGCCACCAGTCCAGGATCACACCTGAGTAAAAATCATTTCACCTTGGGGTTGGAAGCGTGCGAGAGACACTAGAAATTTAAAATACGCTAAAAAGGACTCGGAGTTATCGACGTGGAAACGACACCATGATAGCATATTTCTGAAGAGTAAGCTTGCCCCGCGCTCATCTATCCACAGATGAAGCCGCTGACAATTAAATTTTCATACAAGCAGTTTGAACAAGTTTTCTCAGAAATCCGTACGCGAAAAAGACTTCATGAGGGTGAAAGCTCGTAGAACGCTATTCATTATCTAGGAAGCAGTGTCTAACAGAATAAAACCACGTATTAGGCAGTCTTCGAGTGAGAGTCGAAAGTAATCCGAGATTGCCTTTTTCCCTTCGCTCCGTGCCACTCTGAACCATTCAATTTTAGACGCAAAACGTAAACCAAAAGTAAATTGGTAACTCGCACGCCTGCGCAATAGAAAACGGTTGTGTTAACTTTGAGTTGAGCTCTACTCTTTTCCATGTATTTCCCTTTTACTTAATCAGCTGTAGTGTCTATTACGCCACTCACTCGAAGAGAGCCAACTTCACGTACCTTGCTCTAAGTTCTTGGTGATGTACAAAGCACATAGGAGGAGTTCCTTTGTCTCGTCCTCATCTAGTCGCACTTGCAGAGCGATCTGAGTCGCCTCTCTGAGTGGAGCAGCTGTCTGCTGAGTGAGTGAATCACTCGGACTCTGCTTCATCGCCGCCGAGCTGCGATTTGAGTCTGCACCAAATTCACTGCCGGGAACAGTCATCGTCGAAGAGGTCTGGGACATTTGCTGCGCGAGGATTGGGTTCGACAATTCATACTTGCTACCATGGAAACGAGGTGCGTGATCCAAAAGGACCGAAAGGAGGGGAAGGTAAAGCGTGCATATACGGGCTTGCTTTTGCTGTGGACACAAAATAAAGAAGCTCTGTTATTTAAGAGTTGGTCAAAATTCTGTTCTTTCAAACGAAGGAAAGAGCAAAGCGAAGTCTGCACGCGAGAACGACCTTTGGAGCCGCTGGGGCTTATCCAGGTTTCTGAGGGGTGCCGTGACCAACAGAGTACTGATACTCCTCTCGGATATGATTCTAGTCTATCACGGGTAAATTCCCCTCTTCTAAGTCCTCACCTTACCCTGCATATCATCAGGTTTACCTGAAAGTTTGACGGTATCCAATACCATTTCCGGGAGGGGGATGGAGATATTGTGAGAGTGAGGTGTCTCGTTCAAGAACAGCATGCCAACCACTGGGCAAAGGTCGACGTTTTCCTTAACCGAACTAGAGGGTGCGTAAAATTTTCCGCTTTTTGAGCGGCTACAATACATGCATTAGGTCTATACTCACCTCTCCTTCATAACGGTCATCAAGTTCATGTTTAACGAGCATGTTTCTTAACACCCTAATGGCAAGTTTTCTGATGTGTCGGCCCTGTGTGAGAGCAGAGGAGACCTACAAAAGAATTGCGGGACGGCATAAAAAATACAGCAACGACTGAGAACAGCAGATGAAACAGAGGATTTGAGAGTGATTGTGATTACTGTGTTTTGAAATTAAAATGGTCTCTTTGGACACAGGTTGCAGTTGATCGTTGCTGGTGTTTTTGGCGATGGGGTTTGTGCTTGGAATACAATATGAGCGCATATGTTAGTCCTTACCTCTCGTAGAAGAAGTCCCACAAGGAAATACCTCTTACAGTAATCGTCGGTCAGCTCACACTCATGAACACCGCCAAGATCTGGGAGGACGATAACAACAATGTCATGGGACATAACAATCGAAGCTCTGACTCTTAAATGAATGCGTCATTTCAGTGCATTGTGCAGTTCTTAAAGTTTATGACATGTTTCGCCGGACGTGAACCGGTCATAACAAGCAGAGTTTGTAAATGTGCTTGAAAGCTTTCATACGGTGGTAATCTTATATTATTCAAGGCTAGGACCGTGTAAAAAGACAACCAGCGGGTTACCAAAACTGGTAGAAACGCGTGGCGATCCTCGAGTCAGGTTCTTAAAATCAAGGGTTAGAAACTCTCTCGAAAACCTTAAATGAAAGACAGATTTAACTCACGGCTTTCAGCATCTGTGCATGACGATTGAAATCAGAAGGGTATTGATTTCACAGAAATAGTAAAGTGTCCTGCCCGGGGAGGTGGAGGGGGGGGGGGGTTACTTTCTAGTTATAGGCTGATGGAGATGTGCCACTGGATGGGGTTGCATTTTCACAACTAAATTGACCATAATGAGGTTGCGTTTTCAATAGAGTTACATAGTGGGGCCGCATATTTTCGGGATTTGGGGGCTAAGAAAATTCTGGTGAGCAGGGAAGTATGGAAAGATTGGCGATTAAAAAGTTGTTGCCGTTGGGATCGCGAAAATTTCATTTTCCAAAAGTGAATAAAATAGGGTCTATAATTGGCCACGCAATAGACTATAATAGGGGAGAGCCAGCAGCACATACCCAGCAAAAATTGACCCAAGTCTTCCCCCCCCCCCCCCCAACTCTGGGAAACTTACTGGCGTCCATAAATGTTTCTATTACGAAAATACCCATAAGAAGCTGAGCAATGGTCTCAGCTAGTCAGAGTGTGTGCGGTGCGACCTTTATTATCACACTAAATAAAAAGTAAAGTAATCGATTTAGTTTAAAACGTACTTCTGACGTCCAGTGGTAGGTTGAGCGGAATGTAATGCTCGTGATTGCAAACAACTTGAAGAAATTCGAATTTAAATTCAAGCATCTGAAAAGTAGACAGATAAAATCAGTCAACGGTAAGGTTTAAATTTAAACCAGGACAACCCTTTCAAACGGTCAAGTTGAAAACATATCCAAGATGGATAGGACTTTTCAAAGAATTTGTCCACCAAGATCATCAAATTACAGACTCAAGACCAGTCTAGGATCGAGTTACCCCCTTTGCACAGTTTTCACTCTGTAAGATGTACGCCAGTGGCGAAAAACTCAAATGCCATGACGTTATTCAGTGATTGTGTGCTTTAGCTGCATAAATATATTGCTTTTGTGACGCAAACAAAGGGAAAAGATGTCAGGAAAGTTTTCAAATTTCTATTCGAATCGAGCCATTATTCAAATATGACAACAACATCAACAATAACAATGGCTAGAAGTAGGAAGAAGGTTATAGAGTACTACAGTAAAAGGTTAAACCCGTGGAGTGTTCAGTTACGAGAAGACCAACGGTCAAGATAGATATCCATGTCAAAAAAGAGGGAGAAAGTTACTACCAAAACGGACGTGTCATTCCTGAATAGAGAGGAGGGTGTTGGACCCTCTTTCTAGTTGTAGGGAGGGTTAGCAGTGCCATCGATCATAACATAAGACAAACAAACGTTTACCTGTGTATCAGAGTCTTTAAACTGTTCAGAATAATAACTGATCATTTGAAAGACAAACCCACGGTCTAAGTACGTGAAACAGTCCTAAACATAAAAAAACATCACTTTAAATGAAATACACACGAAGAAACTGAGCCGAAAAAATGGAAACTGAAAAAATGGGGATCAACATAAAACGAAAGAAAATTTCACATCAGAAGTCAAATGAAGAATGGTAGAATTACTCGGCAGTATTGGAAAAAGCTACTGTTATCCCTACGATTACAATTCTTTAAGATAATGAAAGAAACGCTCGAATTAAATCGTAGTTCAGTTGTCACAGATGAATATCATTTGGTAAGATCTTTTTAATAATTAACTGTTTAGCATACCTTGGTGAAACAAGCCAAGTGGAAATTTGCTTCCTAAAGGACGACAATAAATGAACGTCAAGAAAATAGCGAGGTAAAAATTAATTCTTTAGACTTACTTTCTATCTCTGTCTACAAGTACAGCAGTTTAATTGAGTGTCAAAAAAATAAAACAAAAGTAATCCCAAGGACCAATCAGAAGAAAGGTTTACGTTATCATTAGCCAATGAGAACTCAAAGTGATAACTAGCAAACTGCTTTTGCATCGAATTGGTTGAGAAGATGGTGCGGCGAGTTTTCTGGACCAATCACGGAGCAATGTTAAGTTGAGTAAAACCAAAGCAATCCCGGGTTACTTTCGACACTCAATTGAAATTACTCTTACCAATGTAGCGGATATCAACGAAACGACGACAACGAGAGAGATAATATTGTCAAAAACAAAACCTTTGCTATTTGGGGATGGTCTTTTAATCTGCTGATGATTTGGGGCACAAAAGCTTGAAGGAAATTCTCTAAACAGCGATTGTAGCTCTCTGGAAACCAGCTGTCACGGTTCAATCTCTGCAAATAATCCAACAAAGAAAAGCACCTGATCAGTAATAATTTCATGAGCCTGCTATACAATTTATTTGTTGCGAATTAACTATAGAGATTCAAAGTCATACTTAGATAACATTGAGAATATGCGTAATTATGTTACGATATAAGGGGTTACTACGGGTTTTCACGGCATGTGCGATCTTCACGTTGATTCTTCCAAGTTACTACAGTATTTGCCAGGTTGTGTCCGCTTGGAATCTACAAAAAAGCTAATATACTTCAGCTACTTGATACTGTGGTCTTTGTGGTAAAATACAGAAATTAACACACAATTGTGTCAGTACTGCGTGTGATCCAAGAAAGTAAACTTAGAGAGAAATTAAAATGTGATTTGAAATGCATGTTGTGAAGTTACCTTCAACTTGTCTGATTGCACGAGAGTCTGAGCCATACTTTTCACGATTATCTCGAAGAAAAACCACGACAACTGCAGAAGCAAATAACACAGTTTTACACAATAAAGTGAGCTAAAGCCAACGACCTTCTTTTGGCTCTGTTAGCATGAACTGTTTATATTGAAAAATAAACAAAACGGTGGAAAGTTACATCCTAAAGTGATGAATAGGAATGAGCTGATAAGCTGTCGTCTTTAAACAAATCTTAGTTGAGTATCTCAGCATACAAATAATTACGCAGACAGTTCTCTTTAAGCAGAGCTGCCTTGTAAAACTCTCAAAACGCAAATCACGATAATACTGTGTCAATTTATGTTTCCTATAATTAATTGGAACTCGAAATCAAATTAATACTAGGGTAAACTAGTGGACATAATGTGCAGAATATAAGTAGAATATACAATGATTGGATTAAAAGCCAATGTCGCTGTGATTCGGAGAAACAGAATTGAGCCGCCATCCCCACAGGAGTCCTCCCTAATGGATCCGCCATATCTAATCATCAGTCCACTACAATTAATAAGACGCGTGCTCTCCGCAGACTCATAAGTCCGTGCTGATGTCACGTATTTTACATATCGAATCCTCACATGGCTCGTTCCTATGCTTCGCATATCCACGAGCAAAATTGACCCAAGACAAATCAGCATATGTACACATTTCTGAGTTTTAACACTTACGAGTGTAAGTCAATCAGATACCCTGTTTCACTTACATAGTCCTCCTCTACTGCATCGCCTAACGATTGACTCATAAAAGCAAAAACCGCAGTAATCACCGTACCCGTTCAGAATAAAGGAAACCCTTACCAAAGCCTAAAATTCTATGTTCTGCACTCCCTTTTCGTTGAAGTTTGCAAACATATTGTACCTTCATGAGATCTTTGACCACCGCCGGATCAGCGCCAGGCTTTAGAGTCGTCATCAAGTATTTTGAGAGTTGTTCGTGAATCGTATTTTTATTGTCCGGAGGCTGGTCTGTGACGAATACATACTATAGGAAAAAAATTGACGTTCGTTTATGTTTTGGCTTACGATTTTCCTCGCTCTGAAGGTAGTTTTGAGCGTCACAGAAGAGTGAGACTGATGTTAAAATACTTCCACAACAAGATGGACTTCGTTGATGCTCACCTTGAATGCTATGAGACAACTGTATGAAGTTCAGTTTGAGACAATAATACTGATATTCACCGGCTTGGAAAGACCATTTATCAGGCAGGCGAAAGAACACAAGAAATACAAACCTTGACATAAGATTTCAAAGCTTCTAATCGGTTCGCCCCGTGAAGTTGCGCCGTGATTCGAATCAGCACCCTGCCAAGAAACAGCAAGTAGATGAAGAAGCAGAAGTACAAGGTACACAACCAATCAGAGAAGAATATTTTGTACAACGTGGCACAAATAAACCAATCACAAGGCCGGATTGACATCCAAGATGGCCGTGGACCATAGTGCCCCCTTATTCACGGTTAGGGTACACAATGATCACTTACAAAATGCAAAAGCAAAAATTAAAATAAGTATAATATACAATGAAAAGTTAACTATATAAATTGACACGCTCGACACGTTCTTATTAAGTTAATGAACAAAGGTAATTCTTAAATTCGGCAAGCGACGTAACATCAGGCATATCGGGGAGGAGCTGATTCTAGTCTCTACCAGTTCTTGGGAAAAAAAAGAAATTTTGAACGCGTCTTTCTTACAGTGAGGTTCAAGAAGCTTGAGCCTGTGGCTGCTCCTGGTACATTTGCACCTTTTTCTGGTTTGGGACCAACGTGCTTGAAAAGGACAACCATATGTATTTCAATTTTCCACTGCGTAAGAGTATGTACGAAAATTTGCGTATCATCGCGTATTTCTATCGCATATAACTCACATACCTGACCACATTTAGAGAAACATCCTCGTTTCCTGTAACAACGAGAATATGAAAAAGCTGATTGAAGATAACTGGCAGGAATCTTGCCACTGTGCCAACAGCAACAGCATTCAGCAGCTGTAAAAGTGAAATAGCGGGAAGTAAAAATCACACTAAACAATTTTGAAGACCTCGGGGAAAGGACGGTAGCTATGCAAGTGTGATCGCCATAATCTGACATTTATTTTACACGAGCACATCCTTTTCAGAACTTCATTACTGACAAGATTTTTATAAAAACTACAGATAGGAATTACGAGTGGTTGGGTGGGTGTATACTGAGGTAAGAAAGAGCCTGAGATGGTGAAACTGCCCGACAAAAGAACACGATCCATTCCCAGGCCCCACCTATTTCGTTTCATCATGCCAGCGGAGAATGACACATCGTTACAAGATTGCACACAATCTCTACCTTAATAATTTTCACCATCTCAATATCCATAGCTGGCGATCCGTCAAATTTCTGACAATGACGGAAAAAGTTGTCCACCTCAAGATCCTGCGGACAATAAAAAAAATAAATTGAAACAAACAGACGAACAATGAGAAAAGCAACGAAACCCACAGATCAATAATACATATAAATGGTGACAAAGATAACTGAGAAATTAAAAGCACTTAATACTTTCAATTGGACAATGCTTTTGTCGGCAAAACTTACCAGAGTATTGATTGTGGAAACTAGCCGGGTGGAAACTTTGAACAGCGGTTTCTCTTTGTCGACCCATTTTAGATCGGGGCCAGTTGCCTGTTAAGACGGAGAACGTACGAACTTAGGAATGGTAACTGTTGAAATCTTCTCCATTCTTGGACACATATGGTCCTTTCTGGCTTATTCTTACAAATTGGTCTTTTTGTTGTTTTTCATAATTAGCATATCACCAAATTTTCAGTGCAGCTGTCCTAGAGTTGAAGACAATTTTGTGTGCCGCAGAGAAGAGATCAAAAGCGACTCTTGTCAAGTCCTATAACTCCAGCCCTCTCTTTTATTTTCGAAAATGAATGCAAATTCCGAGATCTCTCCGAGAGAACGCAAGATCTGAAGGCGAAATTTAGAGACTCTTAATCCACATTTGCTTTTCCAGTCATCATTATTATATCTTGTGCCACTGTAATTTTGAAGATATCCTATCAGAAAAATCCATTTTACATTAAAAAGATGCTACACTGTATCTTTGCATTAACAATTGTATAGAAAACGGTAGCGAAAACAACTTAGACTCATCTAAATACCCTCTTGAGTCCGGCAAAGTAGGCGGAGAGGTAGCCACTGGGAGCTACTTGGCCAACTAACAGATTACTTTCTTCCGTCTTAATGCTACGGAAAGGAAATACCAATTTTGGGTTAACATTGTATTAAGATTTCCTAGCAACGAAGAAGCAATTGGATTATTTAACTCCAGACTCAACAGATTAAAAGGAAAATTACTTAGTTGAGTTTTACGCTGAAAAAACAAGGACATACTTTTCTTCTGTCAGTTTTAGAAAGCCACCAGTATAATAGGAACAAACAAGTTCCACATTTATTTTAATCTACACGGATTTCAACTGGCGACGGGGTCAGTTTTTAGACGTAATTCAGGTGTAGGAGGAAAAGGGAAGGTCCAGATTTGTTTGAATTCACTCGAATGTTTTTAAACGTCATTAAAACGTCATTATTTCGTTTAGTATACTTACATTGATCCATGTAGCACGGGCATCCATGCATATCCAACTGAAGCGTAAATGGAAAGAAGTGTGCGTCAATCAATGAATTTCGCTCAAACAATCTGCCTTCGTTGTTTTCCCGTTAATATACGTGCATTTCTGAAGATAGAGCTCTGTCTCTCTTGAAATGCTTAAGTAAAAGCTCCAGAGACTTGAACTGATAGATTTCGATAGACCATAAAAAGTAGCACGATCTTTATCAATAAATCGTATGCATTATGCGGTTGGCTCTGTAACGAGCCACCTTACACGCTCAAGATTACGGGGAAAAAACGCTAAACGGGTTTTGGCCATATACTAAATCCTTTGTTAACCAAGTCTGTTCGCTCACGACAGCTAGATATTGGCCATACTTTCATTGGTGTTTTTAACTTCGCCGATATCCAACCATACTGGCTACACGCTCGGTCAATAATCTGTAAGTCCTTGGGTTACTGACCTGGTGTCTCTATGGGCTGAGGTTTACCCTTGACTGATCCTGTACCACTGCTGCTCTTGGTCTGTTCGCACGCAATGTGTTGGAATGTGAAGAATACGTGATGCTTTTCTGTAAGTTGAGTAGGAAGCTTTATTTTCACCTGCAAACAAACGAACGGAGGGTCATCCCAAAGAAGGTCCATTTGAGGCAGCACCATTCATTTGAAAAGAGTTTCATCTCAAGTTTCTTGGCAGTAGTCGTTTTCCACAGAAGACTTAGGATTTGGTTAAGCATAGTGATAAAGGCAATAGCATGAAACCTTGCACGCCTGTATGCTCAAGACATACCACAAAGATTGCCGAGGTACCGCATCAAAGTTGAATGGAGTAGTATTAGCCCCGAATATGGAAAAGATTACCCCTCTTTGCTTATAAGCTCTGTATACCCTTCAAAATCAACAGTGAACAAAATTGTCGGTCGAACGACAAGTAGCGTTTCTGAATAAAGGAGTGATGATGAGAATAGCTTAGGAGCAAGCCCTCATTAGAAGCATTCCGGGACGCACTTTCTTCGTCAGTGGGCCTTGAGCAACGAGAGGTCTGCAAGGGGTCTGGCACTGATGATGATATTTAGTGCCAGATCCTCGGCAAATCTCCCCTCGATCCGTTCCCAATCTTCCTGAAGATGGAGAAACGTGCATCCTGTAGCAATAATAATGAGGGCCCGGTGCCCGTTTCTCAAAGGTCTCGCTTAACGGGCCCGCAAAGCTGTTCTGTTTTCATTCAAGATTTGGTTCGAAAAGTACAAAGGTAAATAATGGACTGGTTCAGGTAACAGAGCTTTCTCTATTCTTCAAATTTTGATTTTGAATTATGGCTATGGCCCCGTTAAGTCACCGGGGACTGTCGAGAAACGGACTCCTCTTCACAGGCTATGATGTAAAAGAATTCTTGCACTCACCTCTTCGTAAAATGTGGGAGTTGTGCAGTGATGAACAACGGCAGCGAAAGCATGTGTAGTGAACCCAGGGCTTCCTTTCTTCTTGTATATACACTGCACAAAAACAATTTTTTTGTTAATATAACCCACATTATCTAATATAGGAAAGAAAATCTGACGAACAGACACTTCAAATGATAACTGCAAATCTCGTAGACAATTGGAGATACCTTGAGAGGTTTGGCATTTTCATCATCAGAATCTCTGAATTCAATCTTCACAGAAATGTTTCTTGCCTGAAGAGGAAAGATAACATGGCGAGTTACAGTAACTGTTATGGACTTGAAATCAAAACCGGAAACGAGAAGAAAAAACGAGGCAGGCGTGACCAGGGTCCGTCTGAACAGAAATATTTAACTGGCATTTTACCTTGGAGTAAACTTTTTGATTGCTATAGTTTAGAGCGAGAGGGTAGACGTAAAAGTTGTTCACGTAGGAAATGTGTGGATGTGCAGCTTCAGGACATGATTGTGAGAATTCTTCCACTTCAACTGTGGAACGAACGTTTAGAGAATCATCCCACGGCTTCACGGGAACCAGTGACGACGTTAGAGAGTCTATCGAGAAAACAAAAGTTAGTCAATACCCCATGTAGTATGGAAGATACGGTGAGCTGAATGGTAAATCAACAGGATACCCGTACACCAATAATTTTTGTGTTGGAAAAGTCTGCCGTTTCCTTTTCCTCACCTTTGTTTCTTTTTACATATTTCCATGAACATTTCAATTTTCTTTCGCTTACTTTGCGAGAAGGTGATTGTATCTTATGGTTTCCTCACACCTTTTGCGCGGGAAATTGGCGCGCGGGCGCCCGAAAATGATCCCCTTGCGAATGCCCCATTTCTGACCGCTGTGTAGATTTGGGCTCGTTTCTCTGAAAACCCGGGTAATTTTTACGGGCCTGAAGCCATATTTTAAAATCGCAATCAAGGGAAAAGTAGCGCAGGTCTTCGCTCAAGAACCAATTCAACCTTTCTCATTTCCCCCTATCATTTTTCAAGTTTTTCATAGGTGTCGATCTTTGATTAAGTGTAAACGCAACCAACCGACTGGCTTTGAAAACATGGCATGTTTCCTCGCCTGTTTTGATAAAATCGCGACTCTTCCCCTCTGGCTTATGGTCCATTTTACATTTGTGTGCTTGGTTGACAAGCCTTTGAACAGGAGTGAGGCGAGGGATGACCTTGTTATGATACAAAAGTTGCAGCGAATCAAATGTGAATTACTTTGTTATCATGTAAACTAGATACTGGTCTCTCTATCACAACAAGGTCACCTTCAGCCTCACTCCAAATCAAAGGCTTGGTAACTAAGTACACAAACGTGAAATGACCTATTCAGTACAGAAATAAAAGTTGAAAAGTTTTGACGATTTAATTTTAACCCTTGAGTTAAAACCTGACCGAGGTCGATGAGGCTTTTTCGCTTTTGTTTGCTTTACGTAGTTTCGCTTACTTGGTATTCCTTCGAAATATTTCTTTAGAGAAATATGCAGCGTTCCTGGTATAACCTGTTGCTTGAATTTTTCCTTTCTATAAATAAGCAGACAGAACAAAATCTAAGGCCATCATATATCATTTCCAAATTAATTATGTGGCATTAAATGGAGTTAAATGCAATCATGCATTTTTAAGAACTGTCCCGTTTAAAAATATGTCGCTTATTTTGTACAGTAAAGTTAAAGTTCATTTTTAATGTCTAGCGAATTCGTTTTGAAAGTGACTTACGTGGCACTGTAGTTTGACAACAGTTTTATCACTTCTTCATCGCTGAGTTTTTCTCTGTCCTGTAAAACAAATACGGAAAGAATTGTCCACGTGGAAATCCTTGCACTTAATTTTGAACGAGGTAACAAAAGTATGCTCCAGAAAGCACATAATATTTCTGCCATTAAAAAGGTTATCTGAAACACATCTTCTGACGTGAACGGACCTGTTTGTAGATTGACGTTGACTCCCCAATTTCCAGTTCCCCATCATTGTTGAACAACGGCCTACAAAATATAAATATAAACTGTCTTGCTGAGGACACGAACTCTCTAAGAGATAATTTTGACTAATGGTATGTCAGGCAGAAGACTGCTGTTAAATGTGAAGGGAAAATAGCGTGAAACAACAAATATCGTCTTTGTGGACTCTTGTTTCTACAAAGGACAATAGTATAACTTAAAGTCGATTCTCGTTAACACTTAAGCCTTCACACCATAACACCTGGCTATATGCATATTCTCCGTATTGTTTTCTATACATTGCCTATGGTACAGACAGGGAGAATTTGTTTGACAATCAAGAGCTTCACTATTTGGCGATCTTTTCCTTTATTCTCGTGACCTGACTGTTTCATTCCGCATTAATACTGTTAGGAGAAATAAGGTGGTTGTCATTCAGTGGAGTTGAAGGTTAAAGAAAGAAAAAAAAGGAAACTCAAAGAACACGATTAAACCAAGAAAAAATTTCTTGACTATGTTCTGTTTGGTTCTATTTCCTTAATAACAAGGCTGGTTGCACCGGACCCAGTCAAGCTAACAAGACTACCGTTAATTTCTTGACCCACAAATGCCGGCCGCGTCCAAACATAGGATGAGGCTCAGAGTTCTCAAAAACTCGTTTGAATATAACTTTAAGATTGATTGTGTAATCAGCGATGAAAAAGTTGTAAATAAATAATAAACAAAAACTAACCTTGCTGTCCAAGCAAATGGCATTCCATACTGGCCCAGACTTTTGCAGCATACCTCGGCCAGCTTGTGTGCCTTTTGTGCAATCTTTTTGGCGTCACCAGACTTGAGGTATTGGTCGACACACGAACCGATGCTTCCTTGTAAAACTTTCTCTATCCTGATTACCAAGTACACCTCCGAGTGGGGATTTGTTATGGAGAAAATTGCCTGACGAAAAACATGCAGGATAGCAAAACGCATACCTTGAAAGCATTTAGAATAAATAGAGCTACATTTCAAGCGTTTTACACCACATCAAGTGCGTGTAATTCCCACGTATCACTCGTGTGTTGCTCGCAGATTACTCGCACAGAATACGCAAATGATAGTGGTAGAAAAGCCACGTGATTGAACGTGGACAGCGAAGCAACTGCGCACCTACCCCTCTTGTAACCCGACATTGATTGGGTCAGTGAAAGGGGTAGGTACGCGGTTGCTCAGATACTGACACTGATCCAGCTTGTCATACCTTTCTCGGACAAGTATATTCCAACTCTCGGCTATTCACTTCCGGATGATCCACACCATTCCCATTTGCCTGGCCGTTCTCAATTAGATCCGAGCCGTGGAGCATTTCCACGGTGGACGCGTCGTTTAGATCACAGTGGAAATCCTCTGAAATCTTTGCTCCTATTTTAGCGTCAAACAACGCAATACACAAAAAGAACGGCTCAATGTTTGCCTCACTGCCATCGTGCAAAGTTCTCAACAGACGAAACTTCAGTTCCTCGCATTCCAACACTAAACGCATTCCAAAGTGTTGCTGGAAAACGTCCGCATCTATTCGTGCGTCGTCGTAATTCACGCACGTGCCATTATTGTCCAGGTCGTGTACTAGCGAAAAAAGTTTCTTCCGTCCATCCTTCCTTCGCTTCGCGTTCAAAACTTCCGTTTCCTTCGCAAATTCAAGAAGTTCTGGATGTTTGCTACTCTTAAGACTTTCTCTCAGAGACTGATGCAGTTTCGGTGCTTTAAACTTCCCAGTGAAGTTGAAACCGGAGGATTTACCGCTCGTGTCCATATCTATTCCAGTGACTTTGCACAGGGTTGAAATCCACGCGTCCATCTCCGATTGACTGTCAGCAACCAAGCAATACAGTTTGTCTTGAATGTGAAGTTCAAATCCGTACATTCGTCCCTTCACCCCCTGAAATATAGGTGATAACCATTACGATTTCCTAAAATGTGATTGGGGCATTGACTGTTTTATTTTTCATATATCATTCTGCAAAGTTGTAATCGGACAGTGTAAACAGACGATTGGCTGTAATCGGATCAATCATACTTGGTCCACTCAGCTGAAACCACCAATCCCAGAATTGATTACAATAACCATAGCAACAACCACTAACCCTACAAAACTGGGGAGTTTCCAAACTGGAGGACCTCTTACTTGAGACAAGGCTCTAACGGAGATATTATCTCCAACAAATGTATTTGTTATTTTCGGAAATTTTAATGGTTACGATTAATTGGTAAAAGGACTTTCTGGCGTCCAATTTGTTCTATAATCATACTCATGATTGACAAATTTAACTCTCGCTTTGCGGTCGTCCGATTTTGTAATCACTCGTATGATAACAGACTGAATTGGACTCTACTCGGTCCTATTGTCATTATTAATCAGTTAGCAACTATCGCCCTGAGTATTACAAACATATTCACCAATCCAGCATTCACAGGCTTTTGAAATCCAAACTATAGCAATGGCACATGGTACTTATAAACTCTTTAACCTCTAGGAGTGACTTAAATCCAACTTCTCCTTAAGGTTTCACTACTGAATCTTACATTAAGGTTACAAGACTAAACGAAACAACTACCAGCTAGGAAGATACTGACTTTCAAACAAATTCTTCTTGTCGATATCATAAGAAATCTACAGAGAACAGTATGGAGAATATACATACTGATGCTATAGAATAAAGTGTTAAAAACTGCCGAGTCTCGGAAACTTTTTGACCGATCTCTAAATCTCGTGACCAAGCCCTTCGATGAGCCTCGAGGTCTCGTTTAAGCTTTTATACCCCTAACATCAGTGAGCATATTCCCCCTGCTATCTTCTATACATTTCCTTTTGTCCTGATAGGAGAATCTGTTTATCAATCGAGAGTTTCTTAGTTGGCGATCATTTCCTCCATTCTCGTGTCCTTAATGTTTTATTCTGCGCTGATACCGTCAGGAAAAATTAGTAACTAGTCGATCTTCGGGATTTAAGATTCAAAGTATGTTATTTCAATCTCAAGTCTGATATTTCTTCCTAATTTCTCAAGGTCTGGGGGTTACTCTTTGTTATTTCGCGAATCTTGGCCCAAGGTAACTACATGTGGAGTGCCTTAGCGTTATTGTCATTGTCGTATGATGATACTACAAAAAAAATAAACGTTACCTTAGTAATGTGAGTACACGCATCCAAATAGAGCACCCCTCTTGCCATACTGGTTTTGAGATCATCCTGAGTAAGACACCAAAAGCATAAGTCATAACCCAGGATTAAACAAATTTTGAAGGACTTTTCCAGGACTTCAAATTCCACCTTAAACCCTATCATTCCCAAGATTTCAAAATCGATACGCTTTACGGTCTATATAAATTTCTAACAACCTAAATTCTGAAAAATTTTAATGCTTGAGTTAAGCAGATTTCCACTACTTTCTAGGACCTGTTGTCTTTTTCCAGGACTGGAAAGTCTTGGAAAATGTCAAAATAAAATTCCACGACTTTTGAGGTTTTCAGGACCTGTGCGAACCCTGATAACTGTTGTGGTTATTATTCTTTTCCCATTAAAATAATCGTTTTAACAATCATCTATTCCTCGCTACGGTCATGCCGGCGTTTCAGTGAAAGAAAGTTACTAGCAGTCTACCGCCGCCTGTAAGCCTCTTACCGCCGTCTGTTTATCCTCCCGTGTTTGGTTTTAGCCTTTCGGCCCCTTTTCCCAAGCACAGCCGCCTGTTAAACCATCGGCAGCCGCTTATGGTAAAAGTTATTGAAAGCCCTGATCATGGTTTTTAGTTATCGTTGTGCATGACGTTGTCGTACTCGTTCTCGTCATCAGTAAATACCGTTAATAAATGTCCAACAAAATATCTTCTGATTAAAACGGCTCGAGCAATTTAAAAAACGCGGGTTCCAAAACAGCTCTTTTACCCATAAATCAAGAAATGCACCGCTCAAGTTAATATGATTTCCTTAACTTACCTTTATCATCGTTAATCTTAAAGCTATGTCACCTGTTTATTTCTAACAATTACTACATTTCATGCAAAAAACAGCTTTATCACCTTCTTGTATTCCAAAATGTACGAGCCATCATTTGATATTTGCTTCAGATGAAACCACCTCCGCTTGAAGTTCTGCGGATTAAGGTTTGCACAGAGATCAACAAGAAAATTAATTTAATCGATGGAGGCAGTTTTCAATTGAGTTTCGAAAACCAACCCCAAGTAATACAGTAGTAACGTTCAGTCGGGGGGGGGGGAGAAAGGGGGAGGAGGAAGACCCATTTTAGTCTATTCTGTGGCCCATTAGAAACCTCGTCTTAGTCACTATTGGTAATACGGTAAAAACTTTTTAATCAGAAATCCTGCCATGTTTAAATCCCTAAAATGTGCGACCCATTCGAATGCAACGCTATGATAGTTAATCCAGTGTGAAAATGCGACTCTCCATCCCGCGGCACATGCCCTTCAGCCCATTACTGGGAAGAGCCCCCTCACCCCCCCCCCTCCTTAAAAATATTGCACATTAGACGAACCAGAGTAACCCCAAAAACAGATGTACCTTAGCTCCGGGGGTACCGTTACTTTCACCATGGAATGGAGCCTTTGTAAGGTAACCCTGTCTGGAGATCCCTTTCTCTCGCGTTGGGCTCATTGGTACAGCCTGCGAATCAAAACCGGTCATCATTAGAGAAATATCAGATCTCTCTCTGCCTCAAACTCCTGGGAGGATATTTTGGGTTCCAAATTGTTTGAATGGCTTCTGGTATACCTTTCTAAAACCACTCAGTTATTGTCAGTCAACAGGATCTTATCGATTTCGAACCCTTTCATTCCAAAGATGTCATTACCAATTCTCCTTATTGTCTGTTATACAGTTCTTTTGTGATAGTTCAGAGTATTTGGTACTGGATCAGTTAAGGATCTTCTAATTCACCTTATTCTCATCTATTATTCATCTTATTCTTCTATTTCACCTTATTCTCATCACTTGTCTGCTTGATGTTGTGTTGATATGGTAGGGAGAAATTTTGTTTTGGTCATTCATGGGAGTTAAGGGTTAAAACAACTTCCTTATAATTATATATAGCTAAACAATCAAACATTAACAGCTAAATGTCTCCACCTGATTCACACAATCCACCTGATCCTCCATATCCATTGCAAAAACTTGTCTTTCAAGTCCCTTTCCCGGATGTGGCCTGATTGATAAGAAAAAACAAAAACGTCAAATGATAAAAATAGTTTGTACTAAGAGAGAGAAAAAAAAAACAACAATAAAACAGCCCAAGTCATAAATGAAGGCTGACATGGGCTTCAGTCTTTAAAGCACACAGGTTTTAAAATTTAATATAATAGTCTTATTTTCTGAAGCATTCCCTCCTGCCTCTGAGTCCTTCAGGGGAGGTAAAAAAAGCAGATAAACATTAAAAACAAATGAAGCAACTTGATTTTGAAGGGGATTGGTAGTAAGAAAAACATTTCGGGCATCACATTTCATCATTTAATAATTTTCATTCCTTCCTTGCCTGCTTTTGCAACATGTTACCTCTATGTCTATGGGGTCAGCAATGCTTGAGCCACACCCACATTGCTTTAATTTAGAGGGTGAGGTTTAATCATCAGGGGGTCATTGCCCCCCTCCACCACTGTTTCTGAGTTGATCATTTTACCTGGGAAGTTTAAGATAACTTCCTCCATAGCTTGAATACTTGTTCTCAATACAGCTCCAGTTTGCTGTGTAGAATCTGATACACTACAAAGTCATAAAAACAACATTTATGAGCTTCTGTTTGTTTTAAAATATCAAGTTCTAAGAAAAGCAACCAGCCTCTAGCCTGTGTCAGACAGACCTCAAGATTTTGACCTTAGTTTTGTGTGACAAACTGGCTGCACCACAGGCCACCAGCCCCAAAAATGTTATTTATCTATTAATAACAATTTCCCATTGAGCATTTCTCTCTTTCACATTTGATTTCACACTTTTAATTAAACCTCAACCTAATTGTTGTGTAGCTGATGCTACCTCCACTAAAGAAAATGAAACAGAATTTATTTCAGGGGTTGGAGAGGAAGGTCACATCTCTGGGAATAGGGGAGCACGAGACACCATTAGAAACCTGAAGGTCTAGACAGTGAAGAAGGGGGAGTGTGTGCTTATTAGTGAGGGAGCTTCTGGACAGGGGAGGTTTAATGAAGAGATGGGCTTATTGGAGGGAGAGAGAAACCTAAAGCTCAAAACAGGGAGGAACTCAAATGAAATTTGAGGCTCTTAAAGGAAAGTTTCTCTGAGAGGCCCATGTTGTTCAAAGCTGAGTTATGATAACCCAGGGTTAGTGTGAAATTTCATTTCAGGTTTGGAAGCTTTAGAAGGAAATGTAGTTCAAATCTTTTTCTTGCAATTTGTTCAAAAGAGAAGAGAGAAAATTGTTCCTGAAAGGCTTTTGAATAAAGGAATAAAGAAACCTGGATTAAAATTTAACCCTGAGTTAGTGCTAATCAGCCTTTGAACAACAGGGCCCAGAATATTTACCTATGTTTAAGTTTTTAAATTCAATGAATATTAATGGTAGATGTTGTCCTGAAGCATTTGATGGCTTCAGCCTTTATTCCCTAACATCAGTACACATTTTCTCTATACTGTTCTTTGTACTTTTCTCAAGGTAATGACAAGGAGAATTTGTTTATCAGTCAAAATCTCCTTAAACTGGCAACCATTTCTCTTATCCTCATGGCCTTAATGTTTGATTCAGCAGTGATACCATGAAGAACAATTACCGCTAGTCACTCACAGGGGTTAACAGGTAAATACAACCCAGTATAAGCACTGTTTTTGACATTTTGACACATCTTCAGTGTCATCAGACTGCAAAGTAATTTGACCAAAAAATATTTACAGTGCTACACTCCTAAATTAATTAATTTTGAATTTAATCTCAAATTCAATAGATTATCAACAATTTACCTCTCTTGTAAATAAGTTGGATGCTTGGGTGAGAGCATCACCTGGCACTGTAGAGTGTATAGTCCGCAGTTGCCGAGGAATTGTAAAGGCCTAAGGAACAGTTATGTAGGAATATGTTACTCCTTCAAAAGATTCACTAAAATTAAAATATCACTAAATCAGTTTAACCAAAGTTTTTCTTAGCTAATGGAAGTCCTTGTCTGCTACTTTCCTCTCATCACTTCTGTTCTTACGAATTAAAAGGATCTTGCAAAAATTAATTTTTTTCAAGTTCTAGAAGGCATGAAATCTTGTGACCCAGAATAAGATAGCATAATCTGGACAAAATGTACACTTAAATTTATTCAAGACTAGTTAACTTTGGAGACATGAAAGCAAATATTTAGCACTCTCCAATCATTTATTGTGAATCAGATTCTTATTTTTTTAAAACAGAGAGTTCAACTTTGGACCAAAAAAAGTACAAAATATACACTTAGATTTATTCAAGACTAGTTAAGTTTGGAGACATGATGGCAAATATTTAGCACTTTCCAACCATTTATTGTGAATCAGATTCTTATCTTTTTAAAACAGAGAGTTCAACTTTGGACCATTATTGCCAGAGACTAGAGACATTTCTCATCCCCAAATAGAAGAACTTTTTGCTCACAGCGAGAGTATCTCAAGTTTGCTCTATATCAGATGCCTGATCTAAGAAATACATGAGCTTTAGACTGAGTTGACCAATGTGATTATCTGATACAAAACAAGCAAGGTCACAAGCTGAAAACTACAGTGTACATGTACTGACAATAACCTTGTAATTACTGGTCTGTAATAATTTTCATGAGGAGGTCATGCTTATGTTTATAAGATAAATGTTGTACAACAGCTAAAGGAATTTTATAAAGTCTATCCTTAGATTAACAAAGGGTAAAATTCTGACAAAAACACACAGTGGAAGTGATAAATGTAAAATTTTCAGACAAATGCGACAAAAATGATTAACCTAATATAGGTAATCAGTATCTTAATCATAAAATGTAAATTTTCCCAATTTGCTCTTTATTGAAAACAAAACCTATAAATTTGAATGATTTAAAGTAAATTTTTGGCTTTTAAATTTTAATGATATTTTTTTCTCAGAGCTGAACATAAAGAAGACACCTATACAAAGACCTTTGTATGAATTTCATAAATCTCTAACCACTAGACTTTAAATTCTGCACATGATACAGCTGAGTGATATTTCTCACAGACACTGGTTTCAATAACATTATTCACACTGTCATCACCATGCACATATTTTGTGACTGAAAAATTGAAAGGTTAATCAGAAATTTTATAGCTTAGGTTAATTTTATCTACACTTTGAACAAACTTTTTTCCAAAGAGAATGCACTTAGTGAAATACGCCAGAATGAAAAATATTCAACCAGTATGCTTCATGAAGAAAAGAAAATCAGTAAACTAAGATATATCAGCTTAGACCCATCTAAGAGTTACAGAAATAAATAAAAAAATTGCTATGTATTCTCCATAGACAATAACTTCAAAAGAGGCCCAATAAGACAGCTTTTCCCTAGCCAGCTCCATGACAAACCTTGAAAACTTAATGGAAATTTCAAAATGTACAAACTTGTAAGAATGCCTCGGGCATGCCCTGTGATCAAATTCACAGCGACAATGCCGGAACGAATCTTCATACATGTATTTGTTTTACTCAAGTTCAAACAATAAAAGTCTTCACTGAACAGGTAGATTTTTGAAAAGATGCACGACTTTTGAATCTTTTTGGTTGGAAAATACCAGAAACTGCATGGAGATTTTAATAACGATTTGTTGACTTCTCATTACAAGAAGAGAAATCGAAAGCAGTGTTCCAACACCTGCTCAATTCAAGACTTGCAAAAAATCATTGACTTTAATTTACATGTCTCTTCAAAAACATTACGATAAGACACGTTTGTTTACGAAGGTTTTCTGTCTCCTCTATTTCAATTCAATTCCTATTAATTCTAACACAAAAACTTTATCGCCGAGATACTTTACAAGTATTGGCAAGGGTCATATTTTTTGGAATATTATTCAACCCACGATACCAACACAAATATTCATATAACATGTCACACAATTTTTCACAAAGAAATAAAATTGGTTTCCGAAAAAGCGTGATTTTTGGCTTAAGGAAAAGTCAAGAACTCCCAATTATACAAACCAAAAAATATAAATTAAAATAAGCGAACTGTAAATCATAAATCAAAACGAAGTTCATTTGGGAAATATTGACTCGCTGACGTCTGAAGTTGAAAAGATTTACTGGATGTAACTTGACAAATGAACTCGACGCGCATGAATAGATTTTGTTATTGATATAAAAGACAAATCAAACGAAAAAGAAAACCAGCACAAAGCAATTTGTTCTCGAAAAGATGACTTACTGTGATCTGAAAAAATTCATCCGGGTCTGGAAATTCCGACGACATTTGAGAGGACTTTTCGAGTTATTGATGCGCTGGAGACATAGTTTAGACGTCGCGAGCGTCAGTCACATTGAGTCGAATCATAAAATTTTAATATCCAACATTTGCCTGATTTGGAAACAAAATACTACTCAGCTCACAAAAACCCTGGGCTTACACATAATTAATTGTTAATTGAACATCAACAAACTCGATGTTTGCGATGGGAAACATCTCAAAATAGATGAAAATATGCAGTAATGTTTTCTAACTTTCGACGGATAATTTGAAATCCAGTTTTCGGTGAGGCTTTACAAATTTAAAAACAATGGACATCACACAGTATGTTCAGTGCAGCGTACATTCGCAACGGGCTCAGAACTCTTAAAAGCTTTGCGACATAACAGGCAGATGTACATTCATTTCCGTAATTGATGTTGCTGTTTTAGAAACATTATATTTGACTTAGGAAGTTCTTAGTTCCAAAGTGCTTTCAAGAATTACGGAGATAGATATCCTACACAAAGGCAGAATACGCCGAAGACACCACATCTTTTGTTTTTGTGTTTTAAAATCATCAATTTACACCTAGATTTCACGACATGGTCTTGCTGACAGACGACATTGACGAACATTTTACGATTACAAATTGCTTGATCATGCATGCACGAGACCCTCGTGGATTTTCGTGCGGCTTATGCAGAACCTATCTTGTGGTTAAATGCAACAACATTCACAAGTCAAAATACCACTTCTTACCACAACATCGTCCTCGGGAAACACCAACAAGATCTGTAGTGGATCTCTCAGAATTTGCGTCCGCTTTTGTACGATTTCATCTTCGTAGCTTATCGGTAGAATTCCGGTTACGACTTCCTGCAAAACACAACAAATTCCGCGGTTTCATCTTGACAGCAGAAAGAATGACATTAATCTATCAAAGATCTAAATTATCTACATGGAAAACCGCTCGATATCATAGACAACACTGCGGCTAGTTTGAGTCGTTTCTGTTTCATAATTAAGCTTCAGTATCCAGTCAGCGAGATAACTGAGTCAAAACAGTTGCTGAATATCACAACATTAGCGATAGATTTTTAGTAATAAACTAAAAAACATAAAGGCTAAATATCTTGCGAAAGTAAATACAAATCTTCCGATCTCAAAATTGTCTCTTTGTGGAGGTAATTGGTCGCTTTATAACAATTTTACAACGAATTGTTTTACTATCGATCCGAGTCGAGCTAAATAAAGGTTTCAATGCGCGATAAAGAAAAGTGCAACCCCATACACAAGCGCTTTCGAGACAGATAAAAGCCGAACAATATTCCATAAATACTGCTCGCTTGCAGAGAAGTTTGGACGTAACAACTCATTAGCGTGACTACCGTACGGAGATCAAAAAAGAAGGGAACACATTATAAAATCATTAGCCCTATCTCTCTCACCTTCAAAGGTCTCAAATTAAAAGTGCTTTCACTCGAAGTGAGAGACTTGATATCTACTGCAGATACCGTAGACTCACGATCCTTCCTGAGGGATTTGCTTATTTTTCTTTCCGACATTGTTCAGGGGGGCTTATGGTGAAGTGAAACCATCTTACACACGTCTCATCGGGCGGCCATGTTTGATTCATAAACTTGTGCCTCGTTTGCGAGTTGACAGCCAATGCAAAAGGTCAGCTGATAACACCACCCTCCCTTCCCACGTCACAATTTGTGAGGCCGACAAGATTGTGTTGATTTTTGGTCAAACCAGCAGGGAATCAAAACAAAGTTAACCCAGGTCTAGTTTTTCAAAATATGTAAAGCTCCAAGACAAATCAAGTTGACTTGGAATTAAAAACTATCAAACGTCGGCTGTAAATAATCTAATAAATTTAAGTTGCCACCCCCCGATCTATGCACAAACCCAGGCCTGGCACAAACCATTCACGAGTTCTCGTCACGCGATGAAACTTGAGAAAAAACATGATCACAAATTATCATTTTGAAATGCCGTGTACGCGCTGTTTCCCCTTATCAGACGAAAGAAATGCTGTTATTATCACTAATTAGAAATTGGCAAAGAATCTTCATTGATGAATGAAACACACCAATCGAATCAATCGAATTTAAATGACGAGACAGTAAATAAAATCTAAGCAAACAAACAAACAGAAAGTTATAAAACCTCGTGGCTTGTCCCTTGAGAATAAGGCTGACAGAAAAACAAGTTGAATAGAGAACAGATATTTTTCTTTATTTTCTGCCTCCTTTCATTTTTTTTGTTTTTGTTTTTGTTTTTTTGTAGCTGAAGAGAATGTGCTCTAAAACGATGAGCAGTACTCATTCCAATGGTATTTTTCAAGAGCTTTCTGCCTAGACATGGTAAACCGAGCCTACCACTAATCTGTTGAGCGGAAAAAAAAAGCATTTGTTTTCGTTTGTTTTGGAGAGATATCTTTAAAGGCTGGTTGACAAAGATCCGGAAATGAAGAATTTATTGACGTCTAAAATTGTTTACACTTCGCCGGAAGGGAAGCCGATAAAGATGGAATGCGAACTAAAATCACCTCTATGAGTTCAGAACGCGGGGACCAATGCACAGCTTATCTATCCCAAGGTGTGTGTCAGAGAAGGAAATAAGTTCTCAAGATAACCTTCTACAAGAGAGGATAAACACTTTATCTCCACTTGCCTACTATTAGCACAGACAGACCACCCAATGGGTGCGACAGGACGGGCAAACTTCTCGAATATTCGAATATAAAGGAATTTATGATGGTTAAAAATAAAATCTTAATCTTTGTCAAAAAAAAAAAAAAAATTCAAGAAAGCGCGACAAAATATTGGTGCCCTTAAAGTGTAGAAAGTTTTTGCCTCTGCGGGCTGTTTGACACGTCCTTTTGAGAATCTTTCGCAACTGCTGGTAACAGTTGCGAACGATTTAAGAGGATATGCCACGTCAGTGGCACCCATTGGGTGGTCTGCCTGAGCTATGTGCCTGAGATTTTGAGAGACCGCAAAACTAAAACAGTGCAAGAGTGAGCGGTTGGAAAAACGTTTGTGTGACTTGCATGCGAGCAACCACTCTTTAAGAGAGAAGAATCTCAGTACTTTACCTTAAGCGCTGAATCCTGGCCATCCTGAATATTTTCCACAAGAAACACCTGAGTAAGGAAAGAAAAGTTATCAGGTAAGTTGCCGTTTTCATCAGTGGCGAAGTGAATACAAGAACAGTTAAATACTTTTGAATCTGCTGGTTAATTTATGTTTAGTTTAAGACTTCATATTGTAAACCTACTCGGACGAAGGGCTAACGCTCGAAACGTCAGCCTTTAAACTCTTTGCGGTGGCTAATTTACGTTTTCAACTCAGTTGTTAACACTAAATTACCTGAGATGGAAGTTGTCTAACAAATATACATGGTAAATCCCACCAGGGAAACTGATGAACTTGAGAGGTGCAGTCAACTTTTTGACAATCAGAATTGCCGTTTATCAGTCAGCTATGGACTAAAAATAACTAGGGCGTTTTTCGAGGCAAAAAAAAAAAAAAACCAAATTCGTATCATAAAAAATTCCGATTGCAAAGTATTGAACAAAAATTCACTAGTTTTGTTAATTCAAGCATTAAACCAATGATCAAGGTCAGTGATATATCGCTTTTTGATCGCCGGGTGTTGTAAAACCAAATTCAAGGTAGATGTCACTCCAATGACCAACAAGAAGAAAAGGAAAGTCTTGAGCCAGGAGTGCCTGGGATCCCAAAGTTAAAAATTAGCAAACTGCCTGAAAAGCGGGATGATGTTGGAGGTTTATTTTTACATCTGGCCAGGTTGTTCGTAGGGTGGATAACGGTATCCAGAGTATACGTCTGTACCCGGTGGATGGCGCAGTATGTTTTGTGAACACTTATCTCCTAGATAACGACTTAACCGTTGGATAGCAGGGTAGCATTATCCCCCCCTTCAACCCTTTAGCTCTCAGGATCTGATAGTCAATTCTCTCCTCTAGGTGCTACAAATTTCCTTGTAAATTGGTTAAGAGAATTTGGTGTTAAATCAAGTCATCAAATTCTACCTAAGGAGTTCGAGTATTCTCATTACCTGTTTGCTGGACAATGTATGTATATTATGGGGGGCCTGGGCCCTGATTACTTGAGAATGACGTAATTTTCTCCTTTTCAGCAGTTCGCAGAGCGAAGTAAAGCAAAGCTAACACAATCACGAATTTCTTTTATCCCGCAATTGAAACTAGCTGTGTTTTAAAAGAAGCGAAGCGATAAAAGGTGTAAATGGTGAAATAATGATCGACAAATATCTGAATTGAAAAAATAGGTAGTCAAAACATTTTAAATAAATAAGTTATAAACAAATTATTGAACGAAGATAAGCTGGGGTGTTGGTGAAATTAGTTGAAAAAACCTCAAAGTAATGCGAGAAGATAGCTGGTGATTCTTACACAGGAGTTGTTTCTGACATTCTAGGGGGAAACACTGTAACAACCTCTCACAAGTGCTGTCTGCTAGAAATCGGAAAAGCTCCACAAAAGGCTTTTATAAAACTTGTTTTGAAAAATAAAAATGACCACCCGATTTTCAAATTTATAATGCAACGCGTTTTTCGCAAGTGCTGTCTGCTAGAACTCGGAAAAGCTCCACTAAAGGCGATTTGTAAAACTTGTTTTGAAAAATAAAAATACTACCCGATTTCCAAATTTACAATGCAACGAGTTTTTTGCCAGTGCTGTCGGCTTGAGCTCGGAAAAGCTGAACAAAAGGCGATTTTTAAACCTTGTTTTGAAAAATTAAAATTACGATTTCCAAATTTCCTTAACTTTGCGGCACTTTGGAAAACTTTGAGAAAAAATAGGAACATTCACACGACAAAGAGCTCCAGTGACTCTCTGAATACGGGCCCTGTCTTACATAACTTATTGGACTGACTCAGAAAGAAACTACGGAGCTCCGCTTCTCATTAGACTTCTCTGCTTCCGAAATAAATCTACGGAGGAACCCAAGCCTCTAACCTTCAAATTTATGCTCAGTAGTCTGCGTCGTAACTTAAAAGAACAAAGTCATCGGTGGGAAAGCAAGCGGGACTAATTATTCTCCTTTCACAGTAAGCGGAATCTGCCTTTATGTAATAAGTGCGTAAACAAATAATGTTATGATACGGTATCTATGTTGTTACGTTACAGTGATTGAGTCGTAACAATGGTTAACTAGTTGCAAATGAGGCGTTTTACGCGTTCAAAAGTGACTCTTTTCTGTATTTTAATTAAGACCAAGAGGGGCTTTGAAGTTGAAGTCACGTAAGTCATTGAATATTTGTATCACTTAGTCCAATGGTCACGAAGGTTGCCGGAATTAATGTACGAGTGTATCAGAAATGAAAATCCCTATTAAAATTACAGTATGATTGTATCGACGTTTCATAAAAAAAGTCTACATATAAAAGAAAGAACTGAAGGCTATAAATGTAACTGACTGTTCTTACCGTTTCATTTTCTCTACTTTTCGATTTCGTTCGTCTTGAATTTAATTTTGGACTGCTTGAAGTAACTTTGGCGACAAAGTCTGTCTTGGCAAGCTTGGACAAAAGATCAAAAGCCTTTTCGGAGGTGAATGGAGAACGAGGTCGCGAAATCTTTCGCTTCGCCGATTTCAATGTAGAATTTTCATTCAGAACTGGTTCGTCGCGACCACTTTCCGATGAAAAAATCGAGGGAGGCGAAATTTGGACGTTGTCATCGACAGCGCTATGTGAATTGCCGCGTGGTTTCTGAGGAATATTTTTGAAGATGGAAGTGTCGGAGTAAGAACGAGACTTGATGCCGACTGCCGGAGAAGGAACAGCCAACAGAGAACCTTCATTACAGGTGCCATTTTCGCATTCCTCCATAGCTTTCTCTGCTTATTTCCTCGTCTCCTGGCGCGAGGGTTTTTGTAATCGGATCATAAACGAGATGCAAAATCGTGGATGTTTATCTACAGTTTCATGGAGATAAGTCTTTTCAACGTTATGATTTATGACAAACACTTCACAGTTTGTCAATATACATCAAAAGGCATGGATTAATAAGCGGAGGGACCAATATTAGTGGACAATGAGAACAACAAATAGAAACAGGTCAAACATAAGTCTTGCTGACTTCCTCTTCGCTTCATCAAAGTATTGCGCTCTGGCAAGCTTATCTCATGTTCCGCGACCACACTCTGACGTGTGTTGTTTTCTTCTTGGTGAAAGGCTAAATTTGGAATGAAAACTTTCGTAGACGGATAAATAAACAAACTTGGCCAAGTCGTGAAAGTTTCCATTAAAAATACCACCTCTGGTTTTGTTTTTGTAAGTTCAAGAAAAAAAATTACAGAATTTATTTAAGAGTAATTTGTGATGAGCAATAAGAAGCGGAAATGGAAAAAAGAATCACCTTAAGTTCATAATTATATTTGCTCACAAGAAAGCCCTAATTCTTTCTTTTCAAACTAAATTAAAAATTTACAAGTTTAAGAATGATGGTGGAGAGCATTTGACCTTTAAAATCCCCACTCATACCCTTGTCATGTTTTATTAACGCGAAATGAAAGTTTGCGGTTGAACGGTTATTTCGGGATTCATGTCTAGATGGAGCGTGATTCACATCAAATGTGACGCGTTTATGGTAAAAAAAGTACTTAGACTGACAGGCGTCTGTGTATTGTGTTCTGATTGGCAAGTTGATTGAAAAATACATATTAATATTTTTTAAAGATTGTGCTAATTATTCAAATGAAAAGTTATTGGCCAGCTTGAATTGTTTGAATGATATTATGTTAAAAATCAAAGTGAACGAGGCGTTAAAGATACAGTTCTGATACTTGTTGTAATAGTAGTGGTAGTGGTCTATATTAACTCTTCTCATCGAAGGTTATTCTGATTTGATTTAAAAAACTTTGCGGGGGACTTTGGCTAGACTGTATTGAGCAGTTTACAATTTTTTTTTAAAGAAGATATTTGCAAGTGTCTCAGTTAAATTATTTTGGCAAAATAACGCTTAGTACAAGAAGAGGCCAGTTTCGAGCACATTTCGATTAAGTGCCGCAAATCCCTAACAAAAAAACAGTAACAATCCAGAACAAGGGGAAATATTTCATAAAGAGCCAAAGAGAGTTTAAGGCATGAAAAAGCAAAGTTTGACTGTCTTCTTGTCTAATTATTTTCTGTTTGTGCGTCTAGTGATGTTTTTTTTTAACGTCAAAAATTTTCGTATTGCAAGTAAATAAAGATGATATCTTACCGTAGGAGTTCGAGTACAATCCGGCGTCTTTTGCTGTTTTTGTAACTTCTTTTTCTCAGACTTCGGTGTGTCCTGAAGTTTGTCACCAAGGCTTTCAGAGTCTTGCTAAAAGAAAATAATTTTTTTTGTGAAAATAATTTCACAACTGACACGTTCTTTGCGCTTCTTTTGTCGGAGACTTTAAGTAGTTTTGATTTAAATCTCACATTCTACGTCAGTTGGTCGCTTCAACTCTATCTAACTTCACAAAGTGTTATCACTGTTTATTACATCCATTTTGAAATTACTGGTGATCCTTGTAATCTGATTGGCTCTCATTGGTGCGACTTATTCACGAATCGAATCACTTTTTTACTCTGAATCATATCTTTTTCCAAGCCAATAAGGAGGCTTCAGTAAAAATACAACAACCAATCACTTGCGGGAAAACGAAAAACAAATTTTGCAACGTTCTGCAAACCAGCTCACCGCTGGATCGATAAAACATTTGCGCAGACTAAGACATCTTGTATCTAAGCGATGGAATTTTGCGATTTCAAAATGAGTGTAGTAGTAAAGTGGTGATTGAACTTCGTGTCGTGCAATTTTGGTCTGAAATCATACTTGTGTTCTCAAATAAAGTATACGATTTCAGACTAAATTGCATACCACTCGGTTCAATTACCATCATCAAACAATATTGCACACGGGAATTCTAAGTTGCCACAACAAAACAAACTCAAGACGAAATATGAAAACAAACTTACTGTTTTACCACTACTGCCGAATTTCGGGAGGAAAAAAGGACTTCTTTTCGGCTCTTGTCGCGAGCTCAGAAGGTTCTCGGGATCTAATTCCACCTGATCCTGCACGAAAAGCAAACGTAGAAGTTTACATCTGCTAAAAGTTATTAAGTTTTTAATCAGAGTAAATTACCGGCCCATTTAGTTATGTGTATTATTTCTTGATTCGGCCCAGGCGTTCCTCTCAACGTTGCCATTAGTAACCGCTAGTCCTGTCCCAATTGTGCTCGTATAAATGATGCATGAGGAGTGGCTCACTGGAATGCCAAGATCGTTGCTAAAAAAATTGCCAAAAATCCAAAAAGTTGCTTACTAAATTTTAAAAGTTGCCACTCAAATTTGTTGATATTTTTTTGCTTATATAAACGTTAATTAAAAGCTTTAGTATTCGTTCTTTAAAGTAATTATCAACATTGTTCCAGAAAAGTAGCAGAAACTTAGCTTTAAGGAGTTGCCCGCAAATGTGGGCTAAACTCTTGAGTCTAACAGAACCAAACACCAAGCAATACGCTAGGTTCATTTGCGTTTATAAGGTTGATGATCATTCAAGAAATTTGCATGAATTGAAGTTTTCTATTAAATCGTTGACTTCTTCGTGCTTGATATGCGCTCTAAACCTTTATTTTGCTCAAAATTGCTTAGAGAAGCTAAAATTGCTCAAGGTTGCCAGAACCGCAAAAGGTTGTTCCAAACGCCAAAAGTTGCTCAAAAGTTGCCTCACACAATTGGGACAGGTCCAATAACCGCCCATGCGTGTGGTATGAGGTGTGAGGTGTGAAGACGCATGGAGAGAGAAATAAAGAAAAACGGCCAAGTCGCAAAGTAAATAAAGAATTTATGAACCAGTTTATCAAACAAGCACACAAAAAATGGTACGTTTTTAACTACCTTGCTCTTCTGTCGTTCATGTTTTATCTTCCTTTCCGATTTTGGACTGGTTGTTTTTTGCTGCAGGTCACTAGAATTTGCGGAGTCCTAAAAGAAAAATTATGGATAATAGCTTCATCGTCAATATTCCCTTTCTACCATTGTTCTCCTTTCTAAAAAGAACCTCAATTTCGAATTGAGGTCTGTTCATCATTTTCTTTTTAATGTGGACAATTAAGGGAACAAACAAACCAACAGACAAACTGATTGGAAAATTGTCAATTCACTAAAACAAAAGTTACCTTGTGTTTATGGTCGGCTTTCTTTTTCTGCACTTTAGGGCTGGGTACGATTTCCGTGAACCCGTTCCGGTCCATAGCGATACCTTCCTACACAATGAAGAAACAGAAAATTTCAAATACCACAGCCTTTGCATGGTTAGCTGGTGGCATTATTGACGAAAACCCACTCATTCTCTGTCTTTCTTTTCATTAACAACAGCAAGTAACCATTCATTTTCCAACAATGTACATATTGACAGCACTGAGTAAGAAAACTATTTAATAAAATAAATAATTAATAGAACAATTTCCTGATATCTTTAAGATCTGATTGATTTTAAAAATTCTGCAAAAACATGATGATCAGCTTGGTGAGGTAAGAGGTTCGCAATGGCTCACAACGTTTGGTCGTTTTGCCTCTTTTCGGCTTTGGATGGGGATTAGGCTAGTGCTGACACCTTAACAGACCGAAGAAATTCCTTGCTGAGTTAAACCAATTACACCTTACTCAAAATGATCGCTTATGCCAGGAATTATCAAGTCGTTGGTTAGTATAACAACGAGCTGTTTTATTCTGTAATCCCAAGAACCGTCGAATATCTACAAAGGAAAGTTTCAGACAAAGTTTACCATTCAAACGAGGGATACGTTAATGACCTACCGAAACTCTTCAAATGCAAAATTACACGAAGAAAAGACAGACTTCTTGTTGTTGTTGACAATCTATGTTTAGACCTCTCCTTTAGATAGAGTAGATTTCTCTCCCTCATTGAGGGCGGTAAAGGGGTGGTTGAAATGGGGAGAAGACCATAACCAGCGTTATTCAATCAGAACATTTCGACCTTCGATCGTATTTAGAATGAGAATAATATTTTAAAAACAGTACGACTAAAGCAAAACAAAACAACAACGTAACAGAAGGACGAGAAACGAACACATAACGACAACAGGACAACAACAAAGCAACAAAAACAACCTCAATAAATAAATGAAAATTCTTAGCTGGGATAACTGACCTTGAACTTACAAAAATACACTCAAAATGGTTGTGTTAATAAAAACTAGAGATGCTTAACAGCCTAACCTTAAGGTCAAACCAAAATACGAGTTGCTTCGCCTCCAGATCCATAAATTTGATCACGAGTTCTTTTTTCGATTCCCAGGTGTCGGTCCCTGGGGACCTTAGACACCTCTTAATCCTCTGTTAATTATCAGCACGCAATCAAGAAAATCTAACAAAGATGTATTTCGGGACAGAATGTGAAGACGGGGCATTCAATTGAATCGAAACAAAACAAACAGTACACGTTTTTTTCTCTTCTCAAGAGGTTAACAAAATATTTCTTTCCGCTCCGTTTGAAGAGCATAATTATTCTTAAAGGCAGAGGAACATTGTGTTTTTTAAGAAATGTTTCTCAAGATAGAGTGTTCTAATAAGTGTCACAGAAGTAAATTAGGGTTATAGTGGGAGGGGGAACACTTGGTTGGATGATAAGATTTTGTGAAATTAAAACTGCGTTACATTCTTAACGTTCTCAACAGTCTATCATTATACCTCTAACAGTTAACACCTCAAGGATTTTGAAGTAACTGTGGATCATTTCAGTCGATTTCCGCGGAGCTTCTGCTCGATGTTTTGCAATTTTCGCTCGTGACGTGTGTTTTAAAACATAATCCTTAAAGAAATGACCTCCAACCGGATCCCTCGAGGTGGAAATGTAAGTGAGAAATATGAAATATTGAAGCCGAATTTTGCTTCAGTTTATGTGTTTGTAGACTATAACTGTATCACAACGTGTTATGATCACTATTAAGTTTGATTTGGCATGATAGGTGCGATTGAAAAGCCCCATAAGAGTGGTGCGGCAATTGTTGTAACGGAGATTGATTAAAAAACAATTAACATCGCTGGAATTGCTAAGCGATTAACTTGATCAAGACTGCTTGTTACGAAATACCGAGCTTGAATCGCCAAAAAACCGTGACAAGCACAACTTATTTAAAGCAGTCTCTTAACTCTAGATAGTAGCACTTACTTTTCTATGAGTCCTTCAGTATATTCCTAAGATCTCTTGTGAGCGCAGTGAATCAAACTTTACCGCTTTTTTGACATCTCTTGCAGTCGCGTCGGGTCGTGGGCGCATAAGTCACTTGATTTGATCATGCGTTTCGTGATACCCGACTAACAATCCTGTTTGCTCGTCGTAACCTGAGCACGATTTTCGAACCACTCGACCTTTTAAATCAGAAATCAGCCTTGATTCTTTCTAGTATAGCCTTTCAAAAGCCCAAAAGAGGCTACATTCGTCTTTAAGTTCAAGATTTGTGGACCATTTCTGAGAATCGCCACCTCGGCCTCCCCACCGAGGAACTGACGACAAATGAGATGTCTATCTTATGACGCAACGCGAGGCATTTATGAAAATGAATACTGAAGGTATTTATTTACGTAAATTCTCCACACAGAGAAATGCCTTAAAATTAATTTAACCGATGTCTCACCAAAAATCTCTCCTAGCATAGATTTTATTTCGAGTGATAATCTATAAACCCGGCTGAAATTATATTGCCATCTGGTTTAATAAGCTGTCCATCAAAGCGATATTTAAGCGCGAATGCAGATTTCTTTTATCTAAAATTTTTTAAAAAAATAAATTTAATGGGCCCCATGATTGGTCTGTTAAATGACACAGTGACTAAGTTGATTATGTCAGATCTCCTCACGAAAGGCCAAAATGAGATTACTCGGTTAAGAGTATAAAGATCTGCGTATGAGTTAAAGTATTTTGGTCTAATATTAATTACATTGGCATCAAACAATTATTTAGGAACATTACAATGTTTCGCGATCTCCGCAGACAAATGCCTTTAAAATCTGGTCAGAAAATGCCGAATTTTAAGAAAATCGCTCCAAATTGTTGTGACAATCGGAAACTCTAACAAAACGAAATTATGCTAGAAAGCCGAATTAGCAAGGCTGATAATGGCTTATTCACTTGAATACTGACAGAGTTATACCCTTGCCAGGCTACAACTTGGCTGAAATTGCGCTTAACTTTTACAAGCTGTTATTTAAATCAACTATTCGGTGGGTGCCTGTGTTCGACTGAGCTGGAAGCCCTATTCCAGCTCGATATTCCACACACAAGTCTTCATGACTGTATAAAGTTATCATGAATCTTTACAAATATACCTAACTATATGTAATGACCAAACAATTTTCCTCATAACTTAAAATGACGTTAAATTAACCAAATCATTTGCTGGCTCACCTTTATCTTTAATAACGTGTCAGGGCTAAAAAATATATCTCCTTCGTTTCTTTCTTCATGGAGAGAAGGATTCGGAGAAGAATTTCGTCGAAAGGTTGGAATCTTTAGACGTGGCATGGCAGTGCGATGTTTTTCTGATTTCTCCGCCATTTCGTTTACCCTCAAATGAACAGCTAATCAGGAGACTCCATGTTCATTCTAACTTCCCATATGTTTCTTCATTCGACATCATGATCTGGTTAAAACTCTTCGTGATAAATTGATCCACCAGGCTATTTTAAGAATTATGAAAACTGTATCGAAATCTTATCCCAGTCCTTTTGCTGTTCGCTCTTTCTCCCGCATGGCCTACGACTTAATATTCACCCCTCTTAGAGAGGCGATATTCAGCAAACCGGATATATGTTGATATTGTGGTCAGTTTTGCTCTTCTTTATTTGAATTCAAAGTCATGTAAATAGGATACAGTTTTGAATTAATAGAGATAATCATTAACATAATTGTTTACCACAAAGAGCATTGTAGCGTTACTGATCAGTCAGCTCATTCGGCAGGAGAGACCATTTACCTCAGTGACCGCCGAAAAACCGGCCATCTAACATCAAACAACACTGAAAACTTGTACCAAATGTTCAGATAGCACCCTTTATTTGCCAATATTAAGAAGTTTTATCTATCCAGGTGTTTCTTCAACGAGGAAATGTAATTTTGATTCCAAAGATTCACAAACATATGAAAGGGTAAGGGTTTATGGTATAAGGTGCTATAAAAATAGACCATCTTAGACTTTTTCCATTTCTCCGATGAAATTTGCTGCATTGGCTTAAAAAATTCCTCGCGAGCTTCTTAAACACTAATTGCTTATGGGAGTGTTATTGGTTTTTTTTTATGATAAATGAGTTTGTCATAATTTCAATGGCCAATTTGAAGAAGGGGTCCCTAACCGATATTGTTTGGTTAGCTCCAGACCAATTTGGGGTTAAGATGTTTCAGCCCGTGGAGGGGAGGGGGGTGGCTTTTTCATCAGATTCATCAGCAAGTGTACGTCTACAAACGCAAATGTCTCTTCAAATGATTAATGGACAAGAGAGGTAACTAAAATAAATCACTCGAGCTGAATCAGTTGCTAATTCCTGTCTCCGGCATTGATGGCAGGTCTGAAAAAGGGTGTAGGTTTCAATTAAGGCATAGTTTGAAATAGGATGCGGAAAATAGCATGCTCGGATCAGAAATAGTATAAAAGAATTTGAGGACTGGCGACACACCCCTAGCAAGAATTTCGATTTCTGTCGCACCATCTCTACCCTATATATTGCAATTAGTGTATGATATTGGCGATAGGCGAACAACACAGACCTTTTTCTGTCACGTCCGAATCGGAAAGATTTGTAAATCAACTAAACCTTCTGATAGAGTAAACGAGACAATGTTTAGTAGGAGGTCTACGAAAATCACATGTAGCTTTTCTTTTGAGTCGATACATGCACCTGCCCGGATAAAATTCCGGTAAAACAACTAAGATCAAAATTTTGAGATGTGTTTATTGTTTTAGGTCACAAACAGAATTCAAAAATACAGTCGGATCTCATATAAGATCTGATCGTTGTGTTATTATTATATATTATTATTATTGTTATTACCATTAAATTAACTAGGTATGTAGGTCATGTATCCTTTTGTGTCACATTGCTTTTATGCTGTCTTCAACAAAAATCACGATTTAATAAGATTGTACACGTCTTTTTTCCTCAACGAACCAATGCAACATGGACGCATGTTTTATTTTCTTTTTACCTTACAGCCTATTTCCAACTTTTTCATTACTTTAAAACACGACGGCTTATTTTTGTTGTACAATCCGGACTATTCCACCCTATACTGGATTTATTTCGCCAGCACTGATAGAAGAACTAGGGAAGCTAATAACTGCTATTTTAATGAAATTGCAGCTGAAGCCCTCTGCGCCAATTACAAAAATAACCTTTCCATCGATATGCTTGTCAACCTAAAATAGGCAGTGGTGCGAGGTTGTTTTCTGGGACTTTCTCTTTGCTACGTGTTAGGTATTTCTGATTTGTCTCCTAAATGTCTTTATGCGGAAAGGGAGATAATTCTAGCACAAAGAGAAACCTTTGGACTTCTTTCGGAATCTTTTGATTTGATTAAAGTGAGGGAGACTGGCATCTTGCCAAACAAACTGAAGCTAGCGATCACACTAAGCCCTGTTTGTTTTGGTGGAGATGGAGTGAAGTGGTAAACACAAAATTTTGCATTTGCTTAGGGCCTGGACGTACTGGACTGACAAATTTGTTTGGCCCTACAAAAAATCTCGACAAAATTTGTCTCTGCGAAATTTTCTATTTGTCAAGCGTGGGCGCACTGAGACACAGCAAAATATTTGTTACCCACATGTGTCAATCACATGAGACAAGAGCCTCCATCGCAACGTTCGAAGATTTTTCGGATCTATCAAACATAGCAGGCGTCATCGATGGGACACATAAAAATAAAGGCCCCAAACAAAGCGCTGTCGATTACTTTAGCCGATATAAATTGAACAGTACTTGGCCCTGGAGATGCAGCTGGAACGTAAACTTGGGAACCGTAATAGTTGTATTCTGAGTAAGGATCGTTATGCAGCATTCCAAGGTACGAATCTTCCATCTTCACCGTTGATTGCCCGGCGCAACTAAGAAATAATTTCGGTGGGCTTCGGATTAAAATACTCTGACTAAAAGGATAGATAAAGTTTTCTTGATTGACATTTTCCTTCAATCATGGCCCGTGAATTGACAAATCTGTCAGATTTCATGCCTGACAAAAATTTTTCCTGCTCCGAGGCAGGACGATGGCGTCTTGAAGTTTGGTAAGCCTTGACAAAATTTGGTAGGGAACTGGTGACAGATTTTTTTTTCGTAAAATAAACAAAATTTGCCTTATTTCAATTCCTATCTTAGATCACGACTCATGCACGAGTGGGTGTGCGGCTCGAAATAGGAGCCTGAGTGTTTGATGCCGTCCTTTCGGGCTGAAAACATTTTGTGTGCCGCTGTGTGATACGAAAACCCGAAAAACCAAATGGGAAAAATGGAAACGTATTCCCCATCCAAATACACGCGCACGGCATGGCCTCTGGGGGTTGTAGGTAAAACAGGCTAATTAACATGCAAGAAAAAATTTTAAAGTAAAGCTTGAAAAGTTCGAGAGCAGAGATGAATACATAACAAATGTCAAACCTTATCGACGCCCTACAACAAAAGACGCAATTAACGCCATAGAGGCCCATGTGCTCACACGCCGATAGGAAAATATTTACCTCCTCTGTCACTGCCACTTGAATTTAAGTTCCGCTGAATGTTTTTACATGTAAGCAAAGCTTGAAGTCGAATTAAAAAGAAGCGCTCCTTTTTTACGTAGCGGGCCATGTAGTCATTTCAGTTTCTCAGCGAATTATAGGGTGGTGTCGTTGGGATGCAGAAGTATCTCTCAAGCAAGTTACACGTGTAAATTGTGCACATGTCTTCTTTTTTGCTCTTGAAGTGCGAGTCTTCATATTATTGAACCAAATCTAGCTTTTATAAATTGATTTTTGTTTGCTCAAACGTCTCGGCAATTCAGGGACATTTCTGGAAAAATCCTCATTGGCTGAAGGCGAGAATATCGAACAATAATGATTGACAATTGTTGAAAGGCTGCGATGAAAAATGTTTTTAAATGATGTCAAAGCTGACCATTATCTGTTTTTCCTTGAAAAGCTGAACTTGCAAAGACGAGTGGATAATTTATATCTTCATTTTTGTTGCGTTGGGATTTAAAACGCCAATTTTTCCTTGTGAAAATTGGACGACTTGGTTATTTGAGAGCTTTTGGAACAAAAAAGTGATGTTTTTTCCTTCTTTAGACCGAACATTACGTATGTAAGATACATGAGATACGGAAGGGATATGGAGAATTTAACAACCAAAGAGCGCCAACTTTTCCACTCGCTCGAAGGTTTTATGTGCATGTCTAGAAATTCATCCGCCACAGACGTATATCTAGAGAGATTTCTTGCCGTGTTTAACTTTCTCTTTTCTATCATTGCATCACTTGGAAATCTCTTGATTCTCGTTGCACTTCCAAAGACCTGTTCTCTTCACTCGCCGTCGAAGATCTTGTATCGCTGCTTGGCAACTACCGACTTTTGTGTTGGAGTCGTGGCACAACCAGCATTCGCCGTGCAATTGCTGTACAACAACGGAGAGCGACAAGAATTGTGTTACATGTCCCTCCGATTGTGTTTCTGTGCTGGGGTAATTCTTTGCGGCGTTTCCATGACAACACTAGCAGCTCTAAGCGTGGACAGACTCCTCGCATTGCTGCTGACGTTGAGATACAGACAGATTGTAACCACGGCGCGTGTAAGAGCAGTTCTCGGTAGCTTTTGGATCACGAGCGCATTCGTGAGCACCACGTATTTTTGGAATGACAACGTTACCACGATCATAGGTTGCACTGCACCTTTCATTTGTTTATCAATCTCGGCACTGTCTTACGCGAAGATGTGTCAATCTCTCAGACGACGTCACGTCCAAATAGCCTGCAAAGATAAGAATATCCCTATAAATATAGCACGTTACAAGAAGACAGTGTCTACAGCGATATACATTCAGCTGTTCTTTGTAGTTTGTTACCTTCCGTACGGTATCGTTACAACTGTGTTGGCTGTGAGTGGATTAAAACCATCTTTGGTTCTACCTTGGGCATCGAGTTATTGCCTTCTCTTGATCAATTCGTCCATAAATCCGTTTCTTTACATCTGGAGGATCAGGGATGTACGACAAGCAGTGAAGAACACAATCAGATGGAATAACTAACTGCGAACAGAGATTTATGTAAGAGGGGCTGTGCTTATTCATTGTCGTAAAATGCAGTGATAACGAGGTGTTATCCTTTTTCTCATGACGCCGTCACTTCTGATGTGGAACACATCGTTCGCGAGCGAAGAGTTGCTCGCCGGGTACTTGAAAAGATTCATGCTTCGTTCAGATTGGTTGGTTTTCAAAAGTTTTGACTGGCGCTATTTAGTGATGTGTTCCCACGACGGTCACCGACGGTCGTCGACGGTCGATCGGCACTCGTGCTGTTGTATTTAGTTCTCCATTGTGCACGGGCATCAATGCTTCCAGGATTTCTGTTCAACCTGTTTATTATTTCTATTCTAACTATTGATGTTGATAGGTTGAAGTTTTATGCCGATCGTCTCCCTTAGTATGTGTCTGTGTCTCTGTGTCTGAAGAAGACTGGCAGGATGCATTCGGAACACTGATCACGGCAATTCACGTCTGAAATGATCACTTCGTCAGATAAATGATGATACTATATTGTCAAAATCCCTACCTGTGAATGTGGAACTAAATGGAATCAGTTCAGGCTTTTTGGTCAGCTTCTCATGATGCTCCATTGATGATAATTTTACAGTTTAGGTTTGCTCAGAGTTGGACTTGAATCACTGCGAAAAGAAACAATGAGAGATGAAAAAAGCACACTACACTTGGTATATTTTTTATTTTTTTCCTGAAAAAAGAAAGATCTATATTGGCTGCTGGTCGATTGCGAAGTTACAAATGAAAATTCGCACAACTGAAAAAATTCACTAGTAGGAAATTGTTAGAAGATGAAAAAGCCAAACAGAACGAGTCAAACCATGATAGAAAACTTTGCTACTTATTCAAGTTTAATTTTTCACGGAAGTTTACCAGTAACCTTCGAGCTGACGTACTTGGCAATCTGCCAAGAGGGATGGACAAAATAGGCCGCACACTGGTACCAAGGCAAAGATGAGCTCGACAGCGAGCGACCGCCTTGATTGAGAAAGGGCACCCTCCTCCCACTCTTGCCCAATTAATCCTAACGCTGCGACAACCGCATTTCGGTATTCAACCAAAATCCAGCTGCGATCATCCGGGTTTCTGGTGTGATCCCAGCGAGAACGCGTCTGGATTTGCGTGGGATCCCTGCGGGATAGCGGCACATTCTTAGCATTATCGTCGCGAGCCCCTCGGCGAGATACCACAAAAAGTGCACTTATCAGTTCTTACTCCAAACTTTATCAAAGTTGTTCTGAAACCTCAAGTTGGTAAGGATTTCTCAAAATCACCCCTTTTGGCTCCAAACGAGACAAAAAACTCCCATCTGCAACTTGACTGTTTGGGGTTGTTTAAAAACTGATCAACAAACAACTTGTTTAATAAATAGCGCGTGCGACAACCTTTACAAAATACGTCATCATCAATAATTTAAAGCGCTAAGTCAAAACATGATCATTCGTGTCAGTTTGAGCCCACTTCTGTGAGTGTCATATTGCATATTGCAGCATTTTATACACTGGAAAAACAGGAATAGGAATCCACTTCTAAGCCTAAATTCACACAGATCAGACCATCATGGACGAGTTTTTACGGGGTATGCGCATGGATATTACGTCTGTCTGAGCAAAGTAAAAGTAAACGAATAGCTGTGAACGCTTTTTGGGGAATCTTCGTGATAACCATCTGGCATGGTGCTCTTATTCTACGCATGGTAACGGTGTTGTTCGAATTTGTTAGCTTTGATATTTTAATAAGCGAATATGTAATTTTGTCATCGCCCAGACTTTTTTTTGGGAAGGTAGTTAACAGAAATGTATCGTTTTATTTCAATACTTCGCAAGATAAAAAGCGCTTGTTATAATATTAACAAATAATACTGTCCGAAGTGACACAAACGTAAGCATGGGCACGACTTTACATACTCGTGTACATCTCATCCTCTGGAACGTACGACATTGACCGATCAGAGGCCGCAGAGGACACTGGGACTGAAGGTGGCTGCGAAAGGCTCCTGCCTAGTGCCGGTGAGGTCATCGCAGCTGCGCGCGATCCTGTTGAACTGCACGATGAAAACAGCGCTTTTAAACTTGTGCGGAAATTCTGATACATTGTGAGGTAGAGTAGAGGATAAGTACCACAACGCAAAAAACGAAGAAGCTCGAGTATTAGCCAAATGTTGAAATAATCACCTGAAGTTTGACCGAACACGTGTAAGGTGTGAGCCAAAATGAGGGGACCGGAGCAAATGTACTGCAAAACTATCATTAATAAAAGCATCCACGTCATATTTCGACGCTTTTTGTGAAGAATTGCATTACCTCCTGACGCAGTGCTTCTTGGTTCTTGTAATTTATGGAAAACTTTGACAAAAGCGAAGATAAACAAAGTTATTGGCGTTAGAAATAGCAGTAATAACACTACCACTGAATAGAATGTTTGTTCAATGTCAGAATTCCAAGTTTGCGTACATATTTGCTTTGCTTCTCCGTTGGGAAACTTGAATTCTTTAACATCGTAAGCGTAAATATATGGTGCAAACACCAGACACGATAAAATCCATATTAATGCGATGGCAAAGGCAGGTTTCTTGATGAGAAAAACCTGCCTGTGTCTTATCGGAAGACAAATTCCATAAAAGCGATCTATACTTGCCAAGCAAAGTGTGAACATGATAACTGCATACGACGCATGAACAAGGAAATAGCAAAGTTTACAGGTTCCAATTCCGTTGCTCCATTGTAATTTAGCATTGTTCAGGGTAAATGTGGCAGAAAACGATGATACGATGTCCGATACTGCCATGTTTGCAATAAACACATCCATGTTGGTTCTAAGGTTCGTGTTCTGCGTATATAGAGCGGTTAGAATCGTGATATTGCCGATCAAAGACAAAAACACAATAACTAGTAAAAACGCAAAGTAAAAGTCAACCAGGGATGCGTCAATGTTTTCGAGAACGATCCCAGAATTTGTTGAAACCATCGTGGCTTCCGTCTGCTGGTACCAAACACTGACAAGACACGGAGAACTCAGCAAACAGCAAGACAGTCGTCTTTCAGCCGCCAACAAGTTTGCCACTCTTGGTGAGAAGCTCACAGAAAGTTTTCCAATTCTTTACGTTTCCTGTTTTTAAAAACAACGTCAGCGTGTGTTATTTTTCTTGAATATTTTGACAAATCAAGTTTCGCCAAGCGTTGCCACGCTTATTCTTGTTAAGTACACCCTGATTTCATGGCAACTCCTGGATGACGCAAATTACTTCACCAGAAATTTGAAATCTATCTGCAGATCTCTCTCTTGATTTCTTGGGTTGTTAGTTCAGCTTTGAGGCGTTCGTTTGTTTGTGTGTTCAACCAATCTATTTCGATTACGGAGTTTACATTCCCGCCAAAGGGAAAACGTTTCTTGAAACATCAAACAAACAGTTCCAAAGCGGTGTTAATGGATGTGTCAGGTACTGTTTCTGGTCAAAACAAGCGGCGGAAATCGCAGGTTTGACGCAGTTTGTTGTCTAAAGCGTCAGTATGTCCGTTTGACTCAAACTAATCACTTTATGCCTTGAAAACCTTACGATTTGGATAACAAAAGAAAGCTCATTAGAAACGACTAAATGTATTGTATGAAATAATTACTGGTGTCACCCGGGAGACAGCTCAGGCAACCAATGGACTCTAAGTATTCTTCTCTGCTGACAAATGAACTTAATAAACTTCAACAAACTCTCAAAACATGTTACTTTTTTATTTAAATCACGAAGAGAAGTTGTTTGACGTACTGTGTAACTAAGAAAATTCATACACAGGTTTTCCTTGTGCATTTTACTCTTTACTCTCTTCCTTAAAAAACGACATGGATCGATACGTTACTTTAAATTTAATGTTCGTTATACTTCAGTGAACATGCTCGAGTATAAGAATAAAACGTTTGGTATCTTTCCCTAGAAATGATTTACAAGCTAAATACGTCACTAAATAGCATTGCATTAAGCACATCAGCGATCGTACACGAGAATAAAAACGAATTAACGATAGAGTTAATAAAATTAAATTCAAAATCCTACGAGGAACAACAAACAATTAATAAATGACAAAACAAATTCCACAAAAGCCTCGTAGCCCTCAAAGTAACCACCGCAGAGACAAAGAAATATTAGTGTTATTGACTTGGCTTTATTAAAACTGGTGCTTTCGCTCCGGGATTCTTTAAACTCACTGTTTACAAATAAAAATGAAAAAGGGCACAGCTGTAGTCTATCTTCTCTTGATAAAAATAACTATGATGCTTTGTCAAACTGACGTGGCTTTTTCTGATACCGTCTGGCGTGCAGGCGGGTTGTAATGGCGGGCATTGTTTTTAGTGCTCCTTTTTTCAAACAATTCTTGAGCTTTTCGGATTGAAGAGATAATTCATATGATAAAAGAATGAAGAAAAGTTTAAAGTCATAAATCGGATATAATTTGATGCAGCTTTTCAGTCAGAACCACTGGGGGGTAAGATTGGAGACAATTGAGTTCTCGCTCGAGTTCCAACTGCGTCATCATACATGTTTTGATATTTGGAAGGGCACAAAAGGGGTAACATGGTCCACAGCCAATCAGAAAGCTGGATCTGGTTTACAGCTAAGGCATGGGTCCAACTTACGGCAGCTTTATGAATGCTCAGTGCATCATTTACATATCATAACCCGCTTCCTAATTGCCTGTTGATAATAGTGCCCCTTATATCTTTGACAATTAACTCTCAAGGTGCTTCCCTCCACCTAGGATAGCAATTCCACTCCCGGTAGAGTATTGGTCCATGGAGACTGCCACCCATCTCTGCCAACTTTGTGTTATCGTCGTCCATGGTTCTTCTCTGGCTGTTCCTGGGACGACCGACCTTAGCTCCTTTTCCCCTGTTGATTTTACCTCAGCGCATGCTTGTAGACCTAGAAATATACATGGATACCGGCAAATTGTCTAGGAAAATAGAATACATGTTTGCATTTGCATCCAATGGACCAGCATCCAATCCATGAGCAGTAGCTGATCCACGGGAGAGGATTCTGTGGGTCAACATCAGAGCTGTGGATTTTCTTACTACTTCTCCGACACCATAATACTTACAACGATAGATTTGCATGCTATAACTTAGGACTTAAATGCTTAAAATCTGTATGACTTACTAGTCTTGAATTTTTATTAACTTATGTAGGCTGTAGTCTAAAAATATATATATTTCCAGGTTTTCTAAATCAAGGTGGGATCCCCTTGTGGAAAATTCCTGGATACACCCCTGATGAGGAACTTGGGTGGCAGAAAGATCATCCCGGCCAGAAACCAGATGAAGTTCCAGCGGTGTCCTTGCGAGTTGGCCTGTTGCTTTGCATATGAGAAGTCATTACCAGTTATTGCTGTTTGTTCAAGGCCAGCTTGATGATGGTGCCCCACGTGTGGTTACACACTTTTATCTCTCCATCCACTGTACGACGCCAGGTGATCTTGGGTCTGCTTCTCTTTCTCTTCCCTACAGGAATACAAGTCAGTGGAGTGTCATACACGTGATGCTATCTGTTTCCCTTCTCAGGACATGTTCGATCCTTCTCCACCGCCCTCAGAGAAGGGTGGTGCCCATGTGGTTAAATGATACCTCTGTTTCAAGCTCAACCGCCTTTCGTTACCTCTAATTATCATATAGTCAACAAAACATGTACTCGTCACAGATTGCATGATAGGAAACAAATGCATTGGTGAATTGCACCTTCACAATCTGCTCTCAGTGCCACGGTAATTTGATAATTTAAGAACGTTATTTAATTTGAAAAAGATAAAATTTGTCACAAGGGATTTTCTGGAAGTTTCAAAGCTTCAAACATCCCAGCACGGGCCTATAATTTGCAAAATACACTCCCGCGATGGGTATGATTTCCAGTTTCATTTTATAGTCAAGTAACTTAGCGTTTTCCTCATAATAACGTTGTTACTTCTTAATATTTTGGCCTTCTTGTCCTTAACAAGAGGACGTAAATTGCAGTTTATATTCCTTTGTCCTTTAACTGGTCAATATCAGGCAGCACATATAAGATCAAGATTCCCAGATGACTTAGAGATGTTTTATCATCTGTTTCACAGTGTAGAGTTAGGCTATCAATATGATAAAACATCTATCAAGTTATTCACCACGATGAATAGTAACATATTCTCTAACATTTCCAGATAAGTCTGCAAATTTAAACTGACGGTGTCGAGTCGACAGGACGATTGTTGAGAATGGTGATAGAGGTTGGAACGTAAGGTTCACGATTTTAAAATGTATGGGGATTTTTAAGTAATATAATTATTCATTCTAATTGCATCATCTATTGCAATTTGTGAGTCCAAATAAGCTAATACAATTCGCTGCCTTTTCTCACTCCTAGCCTTCATATCAAATTTCGCCGATTAGCTGATGCCTAAACTAATATAAAATATAGTATTTAATCCTTCCTTCCAAACCAGATGCGTTTTTCTGTTATCGTCTACCAGTTACAAGTCATGTTTCATCGTAATCACCATCTTCGCCGTCGTCATTTTTGACCTTATCGTTGTCTTCGTCATGTTCGTCTACGTTATTGTTGTCGTCATCTAGATCGTCGTTGTCGTCGTTGCTGTTATCGTTTTTATCATCGTTATAATTTTTGTTGAGGCTGTCATCACTTATCCTTGCGGTTATGATTGTCGTTATCGTTATCATCGTCATTGTCGTTATCGTTACCATCGTCATTGTCCTCATCGTTACATCGTCATTGTCCTCATCGTTACCATCATCATGTTCGTTGTCGTTACCATCGTCATTGTCCTCATCGTTACCATCATCATTGTCACTGTCGTTACCATCGTCATTGTCGTCATCGTTACCATCGTCATTGTCGTTACCGTTATCATCGTCTTTGTCGTCATCGTTACCATCGTCATTGTCATCATCGTTACCATCGTCATTGTCGTCATCGTTACCATCGTCATTGTCGCTATTGTTACCATCATCATTGTCGTTGTCGTTACCATCGTCAGTGTTGTTATCGTTTCATCGTCATCGTCGTCATCGTTACCATTGTTATTGTCGTTATCGTGATCATCGTCATGGTCGTCGTCGTTACCATCGTCATGGTCGTTATCGTTACCATAGTTATTGTCGTCATCGTTACCATATTCATTTTCGTCATCGTTACCATCGTCATTGTCGTCCTCGTTACCATGGTCATTGTCGTCATCGTTACCATCGTCATTGTCGTTATCGTTACCATCGTCATTTTCATCATCGTTACCATCGTTATTGTCTTCCTCGTTACCATGGTCATTGTCGCCCTCGTTACCATCGTCATTGTCGTCATCGTTACCATCGTCGTTGTCGTCATCGTTACCATCGTCATTGTCGTCATCGTTACCATCATCATTGTCGTCATCGTTACCATTGTCACAGTCGTCATCGTTACCATCGTCATTGTCCTCGTCTTTACCACGGTCATTGTCGTTATTGTCACCATCGTCATTGTCGTCACCTTTACCAACATCATTGTCGTCATCGTTACCATCGTCATTGTCGCTATTGTTACCATCATCATTGTCGTTGTCGTTACCATCGTCAGTGTTGTTATCGTTTCATCGTCATCGTCGTCATCGTTACCATTGTTATTGTCGTTATCGTTATCATCGTCATGGTCGTCGTCGTTACCATCGTCATGGTCGTTATCGTTACCATAGTTATTGTCGTCATCGTTACCATATTCATTTTCGTCATCGTTACCATCGTCATTGTCGTCCTCGTTACCATGGTCATTGTCGCCCTCGTTACCATGGTCATTGTCGTCATCGTTACCATCGTCATTGTCGTTATCGTTACCATCGTCATTTTCGTCATCGTTACCATCGTTATTGTCTCCCTCGTTACCATGGTCATTGTCGCCCTCGTTACCATCGTCATTGTCGTCATCCTTACCATCGTCGTTGTCGTCATCGTTACCATCGTCATTGTCGTCATCGTTACCATCATCATTGTCGTCATCGTTACCATTGTCACAGTCGTCATCGTTACCATCGTCATTGTCCTCGTCTTTACCACGGTCATTGTCGTTATTGTCACCATCGTCATTGTCGTCATCTTTACCAACATCATTGTCGTTATCGTTACCATCATTGTCGTTATCGTTATCGGTGTTATCTTTGTCATTATTGTTGCTGTTATCATCGTCGTTATCTTTTTAGTTCCGAAAATATGGAACAAAATTCCCCAGTAGTATTGTTATGCTACAGGCAAATCCCTAAAAATCTTGAGTTGCAAATGGAAATATTCTCGGCATATAGGCTTGGCCTTGCAAAGTTTCAAGCCATATTTTGGACTGAAAAAAAAAATACTCGCACGAATGAAACTTGTTTTATAAATTCATGGAAGTGTGATAAAAGTTAATTGGAAAGGGCTTCATGGAAGGAGCTTGGATTGGGACAAAACTTTATAACTGGCCCAAAGAATAATAGACTTTCATCTTCTAACATAAATATCATGAGAGCTCGGGGTAGAATCTAATAACTATCAGTGTCACCGACTCAAGGTTCTTGTCCAAATGGAAAAAATCACCACGCACACCCATTGGATAATTTGTTTATCAGCTAATGTGTGTTGTTGATGTCGGTCGATCATTCGATGGATAAAGTTCTCCAACTAAACTGAAAATGGCCCTTTTTACTCATTTTTGAATCTAAAATTCAACCAGAACGATCTTCATTTTTATCGGATTCCCTTCTCCCATTATGTCTCTTTCATTGGTCAAACATAGGATCAAATGTTATCTTTTTTTTTATAATTTTGCAAAAATATCGAAGGATGAACAATAAACACTTCAGTGCCCTAACGTGGGGATATCAAATAAAATTGAAGCGAAAATTTACTCGTACAAAAGCTCCTATCTAGATAGATTGCGATAGAATGCTGCATGAAAGGCAAAATGGGTTCATGATTTCTTTCGCCGGGGGAGCTTTGTGAAAAATCAGCACGTGTGCTGTTGGCGGTTTTTTCATTTTAGTGTCATTAGCTGTAAACCAGAGATGCAAATAAAATGAATTAGAGAGAGAAAAGACGACAATGTTCTCTTTTATTAAATTTCAGGTGAGTGGATGGCGTGTATCAAAACAAAAAGATAAAAAAGGACGATGTCAAAGTGCTTTTATCCAGGAAACAAGTTGAGCTAACACACGATGAAGAGACTTCAAAATTAATTTTGAGTTTTTCGGGTTCGACCCGAAGGTGACGCTGTATTCGTTTGAACTGCACACTGAGAAAAAAAAAAAGGTTCATAAGGAAACGAAGTGTTTGCGAAAATACCGCTCTATTAGTTCTAGAGTTATGTGTGTAAATTAGCACTCAGCACAAAGAGACCCGACCAGATCATTTTAAATATCGAAAGTTTTTAATTATGGCTCAATGGAGGGCCAATGTTTGCGAGTCCGTCAGGGAAAACGAATGCTTGCCGTTAGAAACAGTTTCAAATCAATCTGACCAAGAAACAAGTCAAAAATAATTTTTTTACATTAGCCTTTCAACTGAAACAGATTTTTTTTAGTCTTGAGCTTCAACTAAGACAGCATCAAGTAAAAGGAATTCCAATACCAGTTTTCCACCCGAACGTGAGTTGAAAACTAGGTTCAGCGTTGACATAATAAAAACCATGATGACTCATGATGGCTTCTCCTCAAATCGTCGGCAATTTACCAGATCTGACAGACGCAATATCGTAAAGAAACAAAGATTTCTTCACGACACAACTAATATTTGTTGTACAATTTTTTATTTCCTCTTGGATAAATTCGGTCTATTTTATTCATGCTCGTTACGACCTTAGGTTCAATGCAAACAGACCACAGAACTAACAAGAATTATTTAATAAGGATAAATTTTGCCTCCCTTTGTGTTGCATCAGGCGGCATCCTCGGAAAAGTTCCTTACTGATAAGCGTCTTAAACTTTTTAAACATTTCCTTGGTCTTCATCGCCAAAGCAACATTTGTGCGATATGAGAATTGTGTGATCCAGATCTCAAGTAAGCGATCCCTTTGATGTGCACAAAAAGTCTTATAAAAATTTGATCTTACCGGCTAATTTCAACATTTGTTCGGCCTACGATTATTTGTGCTAAGAATTTAGCAAAATTCATCAAATTCTCTTTATTACTTTCCGAAAGACTTTTTATCCTACACAGTTTAATAAAATATAGTTATTATAAACCTGGTGTGGTCAAAAATTAACTCAAGTTATCATTGATTTGTGCATACAAGATAGAGACCGATTTTCGTTTGACAATCTCGTAGAAAGCTATATTAAGTAGATTTGAATAAAAACTGACCAAGTGGATAAAATTAAACAAGTTATAATGTCTATATAATTCACTTGTTATGCGGTTGCAATGTGATCTCTATTCTCTTTGATATAACAGGGCTGTTAAAAACAAAAGAGTAACTAATGAAAAGAGAAAAAGCCGCTTTTTGTCTTATTTGTAGAGTTGAATTATTTTTTTCAAGAAAGTGGCTTCTTCTATTAAGCTCTTTGTAAATATTTTTTGTTTATATGAATATTTTTTGTTTAAGAGATCTGTGTATTAATCTCTCTTTAGAATGCCTATTTTAAGTTTTCCAAGTTCCTAATGAAAATAATTTTTCAGTCTCTTGGTGATTCTTGTGCAGTGAAGTCCTTCAGTTTTCTACCGTTGTAGAAAGTTAAAGTTTCGAGCGTTAGCCCTTCGCCAGAACAACTATACGAAAAGTACGAGCTAAAAGATCAGTGTAAACGAGAGTTTGTAAAGAAGGAACGAAGGCGAATATGCTTGAATAACATTCTTTCTCAGCACCGAGGAATAAAGCAAATGGAGCCAGAATCGGATTGCATGTTATGTTGTTAGTTTCTCATCACTACTCTCCTTAACAAAAAAAATTTTAAAGCTTTCTCTTTTCTTGTTGTTTTTTCCCTGGAAAAGGACTCTGAAGTCAAACTTCTCACTTCTATTTTTCAAAGATCTAGACCTCAAAGTAACGAAATAGCAATCCTTCAGAATTCACAGACATTCCTTTCGGCTTTCATCTTTTTTAAACTCCAAACAATCATATAAGTCGCTAATTTACCCATGGTCTTCGTCCTTATTCCGTTTTTACGATGAAATTTCACCGAATTAAGTGTGTTCTTCAAATCAGCTTTACTTCATATCAAAACCATTTTCTATTAATGTAGGAAAGCTAGACTTTTTTCTTCTTTCTTTCTGCGACTCATGATCAACAGAAAGGGGTTCAGAATTCACTGCGGAACACAACTGAAGAGTAAGAGATTCGTTTGGCTTTCCATAGACGGTTAACGACGTGAACTCAAGGCTGCAGCATCTCTACTGCTCTTGAATACACTGTACGACTGTGCAGTAACAAATGTTCATGGTAAGCGTGTTTCAAGTTAAGATGCGACGCGACATGCACCATATTTCATCGCTGAATAATTACTTCAGGGGCGTTCCGAAGGTAATAATATTTTGATTCTTCACAAATTGTTTGTTACATCGTTCGCCAAACTGCCAAGCATGCAATCCTCAAAAAATATCGCCTCGTGAATTCAAGTTTAAAACAAAGTCTTCGAGAGAAATCTTCAAATCCCTGAGGTGTTCATGTGACGAATCTTCAGAATAAAAACCGTTTATTCGAGTACAAAGTAAGAAACAGATGCGTCTTAGTCTAAAAGGAGTTGTCTTTGAAAATGTTTGAAATTAAACCAGCGGCCTAATAAAGTGTAGCTTAATTCAATTTTGTTCAATTCTCTTTTCCCTTTTGATTAGAACATTGGAGCGAAAAAACAATAATATTACGACTACACAATTCAATCTTTTGATATTGAAAATCATTCGTTAATTGTCGGTTTTGTTTACGGCAAACGAGATAAGAAATACCGATTTACAATTACTTGCGAGTAAAGGCTTTTTTCTCACACCTATTCGCTGATTCCCTTCTAAGACAATAATTTTGCAAAACGCAATATACAATCTTAGTTGAGCACAAGTGGGTTGTTTTTATTAGCGGCTTTTCTTCTTCAATTCTTACGGCTCAGAATCCGTCTGGAATGATTTAAGTGGTGATTAAACAAAATAGGGATTTATAAGCTGGAAAACCACATCAAAGTTAGCAAAGGCTTACCTTCGGTCGAAGAACCTTCATGAAAACACGCTTGTATTTATCTTCAATTGATTGGGATGACCCACGCTGTGTTTACAAAATAGAAAAAAGCCGTGCTGCACCATGAATGCGAAATATTACCAAGCCATGGGAATTTTTATCACAAAGTGATAAAAAATCTACTGTAAAAAATAATTGATCAGATCACAAAAAGCGTACATAAAGAACGAAAACAAACAAAACAAAAACAAAAACACAGATCTATGGAGCTCCAAAACAAGTGATTCAACCAGGTTTTTCTGACGTTTTTCGTGAATGCTATAGATCAGCGGAAGCTTGAAATAAAAAAGAAAAAAAAAAGAAACACAGTAGCTCGAGGCCTCAATCGAAGCATCCATTTTTCCTTTTTTGTGTGTTTAAGCATACGATCTCGTTATCCCAAAGGAGAAATTGAAATATTAGGTAATAATTTTAAAGATCTCTTGGCAATAGTTACTGCTTTAAGTTGAAATATGCTTCACCAAACAACTCTAGAATCAAATTGAAATCAAGAACAATTTGAACTCAACTGTTGCAAAATTTCGTACTGTGGGAAGTTTTCTCCAGATCATACAGACAACTTGAAGAATAGTCGTGAAATAAATACATAAATAACGAAAAGATAATGGGAATTCTGTCCCATACAAACGGATCTTAAAAAGAACTTCAATTCGACAAGAACAAAGAGTGAGTGAAGTTTTCAGATGGTCAAGGTTTCTAACCCCGCCGGAGGCTAAGAAACATTCCATTGCCTCCTAGGCCCCTCTTACATCTCTGGACCTCAGCTGTTTTATCATTGTTGACTGAGTTTTGCGAGTGTCTCAAACTTCACTCCTATATTCACGAAAGCGAGAAGGCAGGCTAACACTAAGGGGGGAGGAAAAGGGAGGAATCGCACTTTCGTTGGCCTTACCGCGCATGCGTGATCCCAAAGGGGCTTAAAGAGAAAGTTTCAATAGAGGAACGAAGTGCAATAGGCATTAGAATTCTCGTCGAATTTGTTTACTCTGAAGTCGCACTTTTTTCCAACAAGGATTAGGATGACGTGCATACTTCTTCAAGATCCTTCCCCTTCAACTTTAGGAGGAAGAAAAAGACTATTTGCAGCTTTAATAATCGCTAAAACTAATTGACAAATAGAGCGCCTCGCCGAGATGAACTGGCTAATGGAACCGCTTTCTTCGCGATCGTGTCTTGCAAAATATATCCTCCTTTTGTACTAAACTCTCCAGGAAGACTCCAGATAACAAAAATCCTGACTTTCCATGAATTTACAGGTAGAATAGGATTTTAATGGCTATTATTGGTAATATAAAATTTGAAAAGTCTACGAGAACTGATCAGACTCAAAGGCTGGGAAAGGCACTTCGAATCCCCGTCACCCGCTAGAAACGAAATTTACTGAACTAGCTTCTGTTCAGTCAAAAGATCTTTGCCATTTTTTTTCGCTCAGTGTCTTGGTCGGAGTTTCGTCGGATCTAGAATGCTGAGTGGAATGTAGCAATGGCCTTT